GTAATTCATTGAGAAGCCAGGTACACGTGGAGAGCCCAGAACGCGCTCCAGAGCTGGAGATAAACAGCCTACGACTGATTAAAACTGCAAAGCCTTCAGTCTGCCTAAGTAGCTCGGTGTCCTCGACAGTGGGTGATTATCCTGCGCTCGGCTTGGGGGTATATTAGCCTGTCAGAGAGCAGCTAGAGAACAGCCAGCTGGTCTAGCCACAGCACACTGGGCGAGGAGGCATATCTACCGTTGTGGAGCAGATGAGCAAACCCCCCTCCTGGGGCAGCACACTGAGAAGCTGAGGGCGGTGAGAACGTGGCTGCTTCTGACATCAGCCGGTTTGATCGTAATGACGCCTTGTCACCCGTCATTTGCTGTCAAACTTCTGGGTGATGGTAACATTCTCCACCGCTAGAATCTACCGCTGCTATTTCTCGTGTACCAAGCAGAGGATTTATGTTGTTATTAAACGGGAAAGGAGCAGTTTCGGGTTTCTTCTAAGTTTGCAAAATCCTGCGAAGAAGAGCCGCCAGGCCCAGCAGGGCTCGAGAGAAGAGTCTATTTTCCAGGCTAGAGTAAATAACACACTTAAGTGGCCCATGAAGGGCGGAAAGAGGCCTTTGTGCAACGGCAGAGTCACAGTCATGGTGACAATAAAAGTCCCTCTGTCATGGGTTGGAGCTGTTTAACCTTTTGATCCTCTTCCCACTTAATGTGGTTTTGGAGCCTTGGAGGTTCTAGTATAAGCCAAAGACAGATCCAGGCGCACACACATGGAAACTAAAGAAATGTAGTTTACGTTCCTGATACTCTCCCAATAGAGGAATAACAATTAGAAGAATGTGAGAGAAAAGTAAAGAAAACTGACATTAATGCTAAAATTTCACAACAAAAGAGGGGAAACGAAGTAAGAAAGGCAGCGACAGCTTTCAGAGGATTCAATTTGAAATTCTAACCGTGAACAACTTGTAGAAGACGCTGGTTCCTGCATTCGTTCCAGGTGGAGTTGCACTTCCGCTCGGCTAACTATCAAGTGCAAACCCACAACTATCAAAATGTAGAAACGTGTAAGCCTAGATTTAAGGAAATTATAGCTTTTGTTGGTGTAAGTGGCTCAAAACCTGCAAAACATGTACCAAAATAAAATACACCAGCTGATGTATTTTATAAAATCTGACACCAGCAATCACAGTGACACAATATTAGTGGAAATTGTTCTGTCAAAGATGAATGTACACTGCCTCTATCAACAGTTGATGGATCTAAGACATGTTTTTGTTCAGCAATTAGTACTCTTGAGCAAAAAACCATTTCACTTCCAAAACTGACTCCAGGTAAACTAGCAAATGCAGAAAAGTGCAAACCCCCAGCTCTCAGAAATTTTGACCAAAGTTAGTGCAGTCACATCGGAATTAAACGGCAAAGGACTGGAGATGCTGTTTAGGTTAGTTAGTGGCTCTGATCAGCACAAACCTGGACCTTCACAATAAAACCAACCAACGGTACCATTTAAAGCCACATTCAATGCCACTTCCACAGAGTTGGCGTGCAACTTTCCAAACGAGGTGTCCTTAAACGCCTCCTCCCCCATGCACACACACACACACACACCTACACACACACACACACACACACACACACAGATAGATATATGTTATATGTATATCCATGTGTCACATCAGGGGGTTTCTCATCAACACAAATGTTTACAGCGAAGCAACACGAAACGAGCAGACGAGGTAAATGGGCAGGACAGCCTGTGTGCTACTGCCACCATGGCACTTGGCAGCACATCAGTGCGGGGAGCTGCAGTGGAAAAACTTCCAGAAAGCCCCACGCTGCTGCTGCCGCTGCTGCCGCCGCCGCCGCTGCTGGGCTGCTGCTGCCCGGCTAACCGCACACCTTCCAGCCGCGGGGCTCCAACACCACCGCGCTACTTCCTCCAGGTTCACGTCGACGGGCTAGAAATCACGGTCTCCGGCGTGGTAAGAAGCAGACACAAAAGCGGTCGAAACAACAACCGAAAAATTAAAAGAAAAAAAAAGCTGCGGTTTGGACGCGGTGAGCCGCTGCGGAGGCTCCAACATACGATGAATAAGTTTCAACCGACCGTTAAGTTCCGAAGTGCCGCGCGAGCTCTGGTAGCGAATAAAAACGGAGGAAAAGGGGATTAACGAGAGGTTTAAATGAAGATTTAATTCCAGTAAAGGAATTCTGCCGGCTTAAAAACTTCACCTTAAGTTATGTGGAGCTCCGGGAAATCCATGCAGCAACTTGCTCGCTCCCGACGCACCGCTGTTGCTCAACTTGTAGAGAGCCAACTACCCAGCTGTGACAACCGCCGTCAAGCTAGCGACCACGACGGCGACGGCTTCCGGGTGCAGCTTTCAGAGTAAACGCACCGAGGAGCACCGCTTTGTTGCTAAAATGCATAATTAATTGCCTCTTTTGAAATAAAAACCTCACACGAAACTACAATTAATTCTATAAAACTGTGTCCTGAGCTAAACGTGCCAGTAGTGTGCATTTTTTCCCGCAATGCCTCGTAAGTGACGCACATGCTTTTATTTTTGAAGCACAAAACGTGGCAGTTGTACAACACACAACAGATGGAGGGGGAAACAAACATGTTTCAGTTTCGTCAAGCTCTTTAATTTTTGTGGTACCAATAAGTGTTGCTGCTTCTTCCTTACTTCTACCTTTATAAATTAATTGTAAACAGGATATGTCACTTTTCTACACTGTCTCCTGTTCTCATTTTTTATAATCATGACTTTATCAGTTTTTTTTTTTACTCTATTTAAAATTTTTGAACAAGAATTTTTTTAAACACACTGATACATATGGCGAAGAAAGTATGGTATAATAAAATAACTGCCTTGGAATGTGTAGTTATATTCATATTTTTAATCAAAAGCGTCGGTCTTCCAACTTGAGAGCATTACTTTTTCATTTTATGCTTAGTTTTTGAAATGCGTTTTATTAAAAAACCCTGCCTTTTCTTTCTAATTTTCAAATAACCCCTGCCTTGGTGCAAATCTGCTCCAAGACAAACAGTTTGAGCAGGGATATTTGGTAGAGAGGGCAGGGTTTCAGGGGTAAATATTACAAAACCTGAATGCAAAATGTGGAATTAATGTTCTCAGAAAAAAAAAAGACCACACTCTTGAATACAGATAAGAAAATAACTCCATACAAGACAGGATCAACTTTATGATGCCTTACCAGGGAAGTTCACAATATGCAACACCTGCTTTTTCATTGCATTGAGCACAAGCATTTAATATTTACAGGTTGTTAATTCATATATAAAATATGACTCAGCAACAAGGAGCCAGGACGGGAGAGAGATGATTCCTGCTGTCACCATTTGATAAAATATGTATTCACATATGCATATTTCCCTTTATGTTTCAAAAAAAAGCTATTTCTCTTTATTATATTCTCCATCATATTATGAGTTCATGCTTTAACTGATATAACTGCACGTGCAGATTTTCAGTATTTTCCAGCTCCACAGTCACATTTAATCACGTTTTATTATTCCCCTCATTAATTAAATCGCCCTTTTATTCAAAGGTATAACCAACCTGTCGTCCAGTCAGTGCAGGCAGTCCATTCCTCAAACTTGTAATTCCCAGGCAAGTTAAATCAGGCGAGGAAATCAATTATCACTGAATAACTCTGTCCTGTACGGGGTAAAGCCATGCACGGAAGACGATTGCTTCTTTCCACGGCAGAGCAAAGTTTCCACTTACTGCTGTCTTTATTTACACTGTGACAAAAGACAGAAAGATGAAAAGGCCCGAGGCACATCCTTTATAGTACTGTACATACAGTACTGTGCAGAAGCTATAGGGATGTTACGTGTTTAAACCTATTGTGCAACAGCATCAGGAAAACGTCTGATTGGCCCTAAACTCGTTGTTCAGCATGTTAACAACCCCAAACATACCAACGCAATTATAAAGAATGATCTTCAATGACAAGAGGAACGACGAGTTCTGCGACAGATGGCATTAGCCCTGAGAGATCTAACCATCATCGAGTCAATCTGGGGTTACATGAAGAGACGGTGGTGAATTCTCCAACCTTCCTGCCAAGTACGTCAAAAACTGTTGAGGTGGTGTTTTTGAAGCACACACCAAACACTGATTTTAGTTTTTTTTCCAGTTCACTTCAAGATACTCTTCATTCTTTAAACTACGAGTACCTTATGTGGTTTTAGTCAGTTGGCTCATAAAGATCAATCAGATTAACACCGACTCTTCTACATGTCACTCGTATGTTCTCTCGTCACATTCCTGTGCTGCTAAGTGACTCCACATCTCCAGCTCATCATGTAGCTTATGTCCTACGTGGAACACAATGTGCTGAACATTGTTCTGATCCTTCTCAAGTGCGTGCAGCACTGCGAGAAGAGACAGAGGTGGACTCTCGTGCTGAATCGGCACCATGCGCTCTGCTCAGAGAAACCCAACACTGGAGGCCACTGAGACCAATCCGGAGAATGCCAAACACTCAGCAATACATGTTCTTGCAGTTTTGTGGGTTCTCAACATGGCAGTGTGACATAAACAGTTGCAGGTTTCTACATGAAGCAATTATGAAATCTCATAACTTTCTCAGGGCAGCTGGCCATCTCGTTTATTGCTAAACTTTGATTGCTCCACTGTCAACTCCTTTAATCAGCTTAATGCCGCCACAGAATGCGGCTGTGGCGAAACTTTCTGACGAGCTCAATTGATTGTCTGTCGGAAACGGCTCACAGGCAGCCATTAGATGTGCAGGAATGTAATTCCAATGAATGACATGGATTTGTAACTTCAGAGAGATTATGTCCCTGTGGATAACCCATCAACAGGAAAATAAAACCCAGAACCAAATGCCACTCCAAGTGCATCACTGGTGGCAGATGAGTGGTAGAAAAAAATGTAAAAAATGTAATCATCCAATATGTGAAGCTCTTTCATGGCTCACTTTCATGAAGAATGTACATCACATCTGTGTGTTGAGTGTGTTACTTTTTTTATTCAAACATAAAAATGTAAACATACAAAGTAAATATACAGGATTCACATCTGCGCAGGCTCAAGTTTTGGACGACTACTTTCAGTGCAGTGTTTGCTCAGGTTGATCGCAGACTCAAATGGCTTGAGATGAATTCCAATGGGCAGTGGGCTCTCATTAAAATCTCTTTTAGTAAGTGTTTAAGTGTGTGTGCAGTCGTCCCTTCTCACATCTTTGAGTTCAGGAACAGTGCCATCTGCTGTTGCACAGGTAAAGGGGAGGGACCGTACACGCTCGCACACACGATCCTCGCTACACAACCCTCCGTAACACAAGACAAAATCACCTGCTCGTTTCAGCGGCAACGCAATTTGTCTTTAGGACTAGAGGAGCCAAGTACATGTCAGTTCTCTGTGGAGGACCCAACCCCCCACCATGAAGCCAATTACCCACGAGATTACACTCCTAAATCTCATATGATGGCTGAACAGTGCGGTCATCTATCATGAGTAATTCATAAGCAGATAAATATGATGATAGGATGTTCATACATTATAACTAAAATTGAGGTTTAAATTTTTCTTTCTTTCTTTATTTTTTACAATCAACATACTTTTATTAATCTGTACAGCTACGTGTGGTGAAACGGCATCATGTGGTTGGGTTGAAGTTTGTCTAATAGCGGATCACTTCAGTAAACAATACTGTGTTTTCACATTTTCCTCGTCTGTTTCATCATTTTCACTCCCTGCCAACTGGAAAACATCTTCACCAACTCAACAATTAGATGCTCCGTTAGCTCAAACAAGAGCAAAGCTACAGATTTAAAGAAAAACTGGAATATTTTTCAGTAAAACCCCGGAGACTTGAAATGGCAATTGCAGTGGCTGATGAATCCAGTCCTTTTTCAGTGAGAAATACTTACAGAGTGTAGCTTTGGAAGGTGCAACACGAACAAGGTTCATCAACCGCATAAAAATGTCTCCTCTCATGTAGAATCCTTTTTGCACCTCGGCTGTAAGTGCCTTAATGCCTCCGTGACTTATTTGTCAAATGAGAGTTGTCTGCTATTTCACGGACTCACTTAATCTCCGATACGTGACTTGTTGATCCCTTTAAAACAAAATGCGTCTGTTTGTCCAAACGAGTTAAGGATGCGATGTGGTGCACGTCTACCCATCAGTGCTTCGAAGTGAGAGTCAGGGTGGAGGAGACACGGAAGATCTGAGGCAGCATGTTGCTCAGTTGGTAGAACATCTCCTCTGAGATAGTCTGTCAATAAAAACAGACAGGCGGGGTTAGTGAGCAACAAGGGACCGGCGTGTGTGCAGCAGCAACAAAGTCTAGTGCACATTTCCACCCGAAAACACCGTCCTAATGGAAGGAGATCAAGCTAAAGTTGTGCACATGAAAACATATCAGGATTGTTTGTTTGCAGCCCAGTGATAACAGCCCCTGTGGTGTCCTTCGGTTCACAGGGAACAGTAGTCGAGATGCTGAGATGATGTGAGCTGCAGCAGCTGCGACTAACAGGCGAACATACCGTGTCACTCTGAGCATCGCCACCCGTCACACAAGAATGTTAAGTAATCTTAAGGCAGAACCACAGTCACAGAAGCACCTTTCAGCCACTCACAGACACACGGCATATATATTTAGACTCAGTATTTCTTTGAGGCATAGACAACAATGTCACTTCAGTGGGTGCTATTTTGAATGGTGTCTGAGCATGTAGCTGACAGGAAGCCATACAGTCGGAGTCTTTTGATGCCGCTTGTTTTATCATCTTATCCTGTCAACATGAGATCATGCTATAGGCTCCGCCGCCTTCCTGACAAACCACAAAAAGCTATAGGTACATAGCATCCAGCGAAGCCCCAAATACATCACCAGTCACGATTCATCCAGCACCGAGGTTTTGAATTACTTAAAAATATGACAGCAACCCAGAATATTTCCCCTCTCTTACTTGTAAAGTAACATCGACTTATTTACATTCTGCAAGGCATTAACATCAGAGCTGGATTTCCAGGAAAGTGAAAATGATTACACCTCAGTGTTGGCAAGCTAAACGTTAATCCCGTGGCTTATCACACATTTATATGATTGAGTTTCTGAGCTTTCTTTTTATCACAGCAGGGTAAATACTGGGCAACAGAACCTAAAGCTCTATAATCTATGATTTATGGTGAGCTTTTCAAACAGTCGCCTCTTCTCCGCCCGCATCCAGAGGTATGCACTGCAAGGCCAGGTGTGCCTTTTGTGAGCTTGTGTAAATGCGAAGCCTTAAGTATACATTTCTTTTGAAATAACATAAAGTCTTATTGGGAGGCAATCACTCAAGGGACCGTTGTGCAGCCTTCGCTATAAGTTGTGAAATCAGAAACAGACAGTACATGCTGATCTCACCTTTGGCACTAGAAACTGAACTGTGCGGGATATACCGCCGTCCCAGGAGGCCATTTCCATCATAAAGCCTGCAAATGAGACAGATTGTAAGTTACTCAAATTTGTCTTAATATCATCTTTCATGTTTTAAATATCTCTCTGTAATGCTCAGTGTTTTCCATTTCCTCTCAACCCAGACGATTCCCAGAATGAGACAAATGACTGCTTTCGCTACTTGTGGGCCAAGAGAACAGACAGAGACTAACGTTCTGTTCAAATTCAGTGTGTGTGTGTGTGTGTGTGTGTGTGTGTGTTGAGGCAACAGAATAAATCTAAAACTTTCACATTACCTTTGACACATTTGAATACCAGCTCAGCCCGTTTAAGACACCATGGAATGGTCATCTCCTGCAGAGCAACGAGAAAATATGAATAATTAAATCTTGTTAGTCGCATTTGAATTTAGCGAAATTGAACATGTACTGGCCGGGTACGGCTACACACTCCGAGTCTAGTGTGTCTCAGTGGACCTACACACAACATAATGTTCAGAAGAAAATGCACAGACGTCAGAACAGCGAAGCTCAACAGAGACACGCAACATAAACATCGATTAGAAAAACGCATAAACAACAGATACATGTTTAAAAACGTATGACAAAACTAGTTCTGATCCGATTACACCATGATGGTTTTTGTCAGTCTGTTGGTGCAAAGATTAATACTGGAGACAAGCAATGGGCCCCAGTAGTAAATGGGATGAGAGAAGCAATGACGCATTTGCAATTAATGAAGATAAAATGTCATTAAAAAGACAGCAGGATGAATTTCATCTAACATGGTTACCTGCTACGTGAGAGCACTTCAATCAGACCAGGAAACATCACGCTAATATCATCATTCTCTTTATTCTGTTTATTTATTTGCCTCTTTCATTCTCAGAACAGGACTTCTTTTTAACTCTCCTTGGAAAACAATTTGATTTTCTTTTGCAGTCACTTTCCCCTTTTATGTTTTTATCTTATCTTTTCAGACTGAAGACATCACCTACTTAGATAGCTTCCTAATGAGTTGAGGCGGGTAAACAACTTTACTATGTTGTGTCTGATTGGATTAAATCGCTCAGATATTATGTTTGTGATCTGCAAATTTACATTTTTTGTCTATGCTGCAAAGAGAAAGAAATAAATAAACATAAAACAACGAAAGGAAAAACACAGTTATTTGTGTTGATGGAACTGGTGCTGAATCATATTGACAGTCCACGTTATGGCCTGATGCTTGCTGTCTCCACTGTGACTGTTGAATGAAGGTGAAAATACACAAAAACTATCTTGAAACAAATAAACAGGACATATTTGTACTCTGCATTTCACATGGTGACACCGAAGTCTCTTGTTAGGCGACCATGTGTCAACTCAACGTGTCAAACTGTATAATTGATGTGAACTGGCACCATTCTGCCACAACATTAAAACCACTGACAGGTGACGTGAAGAACATCAATAATTTCGTTACAATGCAATGTTCTGCTTCTACCCTGTGGCTCCTGGCATTCATGTGAGTGTACTTTGACACGTACCACCCACCTAAACATTGCTGCAGGCCAATTACACCTTTCTAATAGTTCCAAATGCCAGCGTCCTTTGCCAGCAGGACAATGCATCCGCCGCACACACTGCAAAAACCTCCTCAGGAACGGCTCAAGGAACACAATAAAGAGTCCAAGGTATTGACCGGGCCAAAATCGATGCCGGTGCCAAACACCACAGGACACCCCCAGAGGTCTTATGGCCCAGAGCGGTTCTAGTCGGACAAAGGGGACCTACACAATACAAGCGTTTCCAGTGTTGAGGCTGATCGGTGTGTATCGCTGCCCTTCCTGCCTCTTCTGTTCTCCTTTTGAGTGTATTCGACTCCAGGCTGCACACAGTGACTTCAGCGGGTAGTCATCTCTGCAATCCACCTTTTCCCCACAGCAAGGAGTGTCACACAGCGTCTGCCACACACTCGCATAGCCTTTCACCCACTGGGAACTGTGCTGCACCCATCCCATGTCAACAAGCTGTACACAAAACCAGAGGGAGGGGTGTCAGAGAGGCTCATGTTTAGGCCCACGACAACTGCGTCAACCGCTAACCGTTTTGCCCTCGAGATAAACTGCACAGGCTTGAGCAATGGATCTCTGACACGTTAGCGTATTCGTGCAGTGGGGAGTTGACCTGGTTGGTGCTGCAGGAGCGCTAAAGGCAGCCGAGCAACAGAGGCAAGAAAACAGGCACAGGCAGTTGACAAATTGTGTAAGAGTCATTGTCTGCAAACCGGCTCTCCAAATTGGCTGAAAGAATTTTCCTCCCCGCTTTTAAACATTTATTATATTGTCATTAAACAGTTCTTCTCTTTTTTCCCCCCTCAAATGTTCTCAAAGAAAAAGAACGCCTAAAAATAACAGGAACAGCCCTGTTGTATTTTGAATGTGGTCTGTAGTTCATGTAGACAAACTATAGCAGTTGTTTAAACACTAAAACACAAGAATAGGCCTGCACAAACAGGCAAACGTCTCTCCGAAATGGGAAACGCCTGAAAAGAAGCTGACAGATGGAAAGTTTGGATGTGAAACCAGAAGCTATCAATTAAAGATCCTCTGGTTCCCGAGGCTTCAAAAGTTAGAAGACTTTGGTTATGTAAACAAAACAGTCTTGATTAGACAGGAGAAGAAAAATAGCAGTGGGCACGTCGTGGCATGACTGCACTCCAGACGGAGGATTGTAGAGAATCTACTTTCCACATTATGGGATTCTTGGTTTATTTAGTTTTATTATGACTACTAGTTATTTTTACTCATTTAGGGCAGCCAATGCGATTAAAAGAGAGAAAAGGCTACTTTTATTCATTTTTAGTGGATCAATAAAGACAGATGTACTCATTTCCAGACATAAAGGAAAAAAGAAAACACTGTTTTGACCAGACTTTGGCCTAAAGTCTGCTTCATTCAAGTGCATCAGCCACTGAAGGCTTTTGCTTTTACTCTGCCTTTCTGTGTGAAAACAGAGTGTAGCTGTACATAGACTTCGTGGCACTAAGTCAACAGACCTGTTGTTGACCTGAAAATGTTCAGTTGCAGACTGAATTCACCGTCAGGGCCTGACAAGCCACATCACAGCTGAGCCGGCAAGGCATCAACAAGTAGAGACAGAATGAAAGGGAAGACATTTTCCCTGTGCGATCAAGGGAACCTGTACGGCAAACAGGTTTTTGGCTTTAACACACAAGTACGAGACTGAAGCAGTTACAACGGGGTTAATGACGAAGGTTCAAGAGCGGCGCTGCTGGAGTGTCATTGAGCAACAACAAATCAGTCGTCAGCTCAGACCTGCAGCTGATGACTCAGCTCCAAAAGCACACAGAACGGAAAAATGGATTTTTACCCAGAAATTGAAAGTCTCTGTATTTAACATAGCTGACAGTAAAACTTTGGGCAAAAAGCATGAGAGAAGAGACGGGGGGATAAATTACAAGTTCTTTTGGACTGATGGACCACCACAGTCCTGTTAGGTCAACCACGTTTAAACTTAACGTTATTTAGCAGTATTATTATATAAAAGTTGATACTTTCATAACGTTTGAGTCAGTTCAGTCAAATCTGAATCAGTCCTTTCAGGTAGCTATTTCAGCTGTTTATATATTACAGTACAAGTCCCCCTGGTCGGACATCATTGCCCCAATCTGTGTAAATACCCCAAATGCCACCTATTTTCTACTCAATTGTGTTTGAACTCCACTAATCTAAGCCAGAGCTATGTGGCTGTCACAGTAAGACTGCAACCCTTTCCTAATCTTCTCAAGTGTTTGATAGCCAAACAACTGCAGTCCAACTTAAACATTTACCCTTCTATGTCATGCATTTTGTCTTTGACAAACACACTGTTTGGCAAAACAGGATTAACTATTTACAACTATTTACATTGTTTTTTTGATCTGTACTAAGTGGTCTAGTTAGCTCGTAGAGTTTAGGAAAACAAGACAGAACTCACTGTGCAGCTGTTGGTCCAACAAACCTAAACAATGTCTGAATAAACATTATGGTTTGAGATTAACCGAATATTCAATTTGGGTTTATTTATTCCCATGAGAGATTAGACTACTATATTACTACATATCTTTATAAAGTGTGTGTGTGTGTGTGGACAGTCGGATAAAGACAGACTCCATTTATTGCACCACCATCCACACACTGAAGCCCTCGCCGTGCCTTCAGCATCTCTCACCTCTGACATGTCGTGGACCAGCAGCAGAGGGACGGTAACCGTGGTGATGTCATGTGTGCAGCAGACCTTCAGGATGTTTCTCAAACCCATGATAGCCGGATCTCGGGCCGTGATGTTCCCTGAACGGACGTTATCATCCACACACAGATGGAAGACGACGTGGACTTCTGACAGGTTGGAGTGCCGTGAGATATAGAACTCACCTTGGGGAGCAGACACAGCAGATGAATTTAAAAAATGTGTGATGGAGAAGGAAAAAAAAAACCACATAAAATAAGTATGCTCTAAAATCACATGCTTGATAATGTGCAATGCAAATGTCAGTAGGATTTGCTCTCCTAATGTTTAGGAATGAATGTCTTGACTGTAAAGGCTAATGCACACTTACATATTCATACTCTTGGCGTAGGAGGAAATATCAATAGGTAGGAGAAGAGAGAACGCCCACACACAAGAAGATGTACACAACCATTACCTGGTAAGATATTAGCAGGATTTCTTTCAACATTTTTGGTCTTATCATCACCTCCATTCCTTGGAATCTCTGTAAGGACAGAGAATTTCAAAATAAAACAAAAATGCATGGAATGTATGCAAACACATTTTTCAGGATATCTTATAAGGACACTGAGTGGGGATGGCAGCTGGACTATCCATGTAGGGCTAGCTAGCCAGACTGTTTCTATGTACAGCTGTGCTCCATTAACCACTGAACTTATTCTGTGGTAAAAATCTGGACAACACAACACAGTAGCAGCGCTGTAAAGTGTCTCTGATTTCCTTTTAATCTCCCTCTCATATTGTCAGGTTTGTGGTTAAACTCATCTTCAATCAAATGCTCCTGATGTGAAAATAAGTACGATGGATGCTCTTTCTTGTCTTTTTGAACATCAAATCAGCAAAGCTAGAGGTAAATCTCAAAGTGAGTGAATATCATACATAAACAACTTTAGGACGGCTCAGCTACTTGTATCCTGTAGATCCATCTCTATGGCAGTTAAGTGCTTTATAATGTCTTCCAAAATACAACTAGCTGTCTAAAAAAAGATGCCTCAGCTGTCTGGAATAATACTTTTTTCTGTCAGTGTTTAGGTCTCCAGCTGGACTGACCCTCAGTCTGCTCAAGTCTTGTCTTTCACTTTGCAAAGAAGTCTCACCAGGTTGGTCTTTCTGCTTGCTGCTCCGCTGGGCTCTGGCGTAGAGCACCACCTGCTGCACCTCCTCCAGCTGCTCCTCCAGACAGTGGAAGTGGAAGTCGGTGCACTCTTTCGCCACAGTCGCAAAATCTGGTGGGGGGGTCAACACAGAACAGGACAGGGATGAAATGATGCCAAAAAAATCCCCAGCTATATTTAATGTTATAAATATGAAGAGTTCATTTGCAAAAAACAGATGACTCAATTTTTGTAGATTTTCAGAAAACTTATTTTTTTGTTTTTTGCTTGAGATGATATCAATCAAAGTGAAGCTGAGTGGATTTGACTCAGGTGAAATGACAACAATAGAGACAACTTAAGTTTGATTGATGTTGTCTCAGGTAGACGATGGAAAAGTGGGTTTTCTGAAGGTTTGTGAAGATGGAGTTATCTGTTTTTGCAAATGAGCTCTTCATATGTAAAAGGTGAACGGAGGGGCTGTGGCCACTGAACTAAACATTTAAAGAAATGCGGGAAAAGGGTGTTATCATTCCAGTAAAAACGAGACACAACAGGACTGAGTCATAAGCAGAACCAAAATCTAAATGTTACCACTTATTGTTCCCAGAATATAACAAAGCACTGCAGGAGCTGTTGTGGAATACGTAAACATGCAGCATGAAGCCACCGCAATAAACCCTTATCATTCCCCACAACAGCTTCACAGACCGCCTGAGTAAAATCAATACAATATTCCACTGCATCATACTCCACATGCCCCCTGACCTCTCTTGATGCCGCTGTAGGAGTTGACCCTGTTGTCGACCAGCAGCACCAGGCCACAGAGTGATGAGGAATACAGGGAGAGGGCCGTCTGTAAACGCCGCAGCTTTGCTCCGCTGCTGCCGTGTCGCCGGTGTTTACAGAAGTCCAGCACGTCCGCTCGGACCAGCCGCAGGTTGTGCATCGTCTTCAGTTGTGCTCCTGGAAAAGCAAAAGCGTTTTTTTTTTATAGGCAGTGCATGCTACCTGATGTCCTGCATGAGTGGCAGGAAAGCATATTAGAAGTGAAGTACCGAGGTGTATGGTGAAGCTCTCCTCCAGCTGAGGTTGCTCTTCAAACATCCTGGCTCCAGAATCTGCAGCCTCCGACAGCTGGCTGGGCTGCACTTTAATCTCTTCACTGGAAAACAACAATGGGGAAAAAAAAAAAAAACAATTCATGAGATATTTATCAAATGCTGCACAAACATCCTTAGCTAGTATTAGTTCTAGCTAAACCCACTTGTTCTTTAGAGGCATACGATAGTTTATCAAACACATAACACGGAGGTTCAAGGAGAGAACTCACAGAGCCTGAGGAGTTTTATTTCAAGACAAATACAGAGATTATATTTTAGTCTTTAAAGGAAAAACTCTCCTACCAGTGAGTATTTTTTTCTGGCTACTTGTTGGACAATAAATGAGATAAAATTGGCCACAATGAGCGACATGGTTCTGCACAGATTTAAAAGTAATTAATGATTCTGAGCATTTAACAGCAGAATTTAGTTCAAAGTTTAGCGAGACTGACTGAAGCTCAGAAATCAAATACAAGAGCTGGATGTTAATAAAAATGGTTTTGGACATGACAGTTGTAAGCCTCACTTATCTGGATTCATTTTTTTGAATTGATTCAACTCCTATCACATAAAAATAACACACAGGATCAAAGAAATCCAAACTACGAGCCGAGTTCTGTTTGTAGCGTCCCTTTAACTAAACATGCATATTTATACAGCGTTCAGACTGCTGATACAGAATGTTTTAAGTTCCACCCACACATAACAAGATAATGATATTCATAATTTTTAAAAAACCGATGCAGCATCAGCACATTGTCTGAGACGTTCTTGGCATCGAGGTCCTGGTGGTATCTGATTTTGATGGAATATCCAATATATGAAGATGAGTGTAATAAATGAATCTGAACCACCACTCTGCAGGACTGCATTACTGTTAACCACCATCAGATTTTTTTTCCCCTATTCATGTCCCAAGATGCCAGTCGTAACTGCAAAGCTAAGCATCAGTCAAACCAAGATGGGTTTTGACCTCTTCAATTTCTATGTAAATGTAGCCTGCACTTCAAAATAGTTGATATCTCGTGTTTCGGATTAGAGCTGGTACACATGTGCTGTCGTTTAAATTTACTTAAAGGGTCAGTTTGTCCTCTAGCAAATGTCCAGATGGAAAACAGCTAAAAGAGGGATGTCTCCAGTAATTGGATTCATGTTATGAGTCAACAAAACAAGTTATTCTAGTTATCGTGAAGATCCTGCTACTTGGCTGTGTCCGAGTTTGTTTTCTTTCCTGGTATCTAGTGTCTTTTAATCAGCCTATTCCAGCAGCGTAAGATCCCAGGATTTAAACATCAGCTGACTTTAACACTTAATCGCTGCACAAATAAACTCATGTTGGACTTAAGGCCACACTGTCAGCAACTAGTCTGTTCCAAGACGGTACAACTACAGTTTGCATTCACTGCAGGTTATCTATTTCTGGAGTAAGCACCTGGCTCCAGTGTTCCTCACTGTTCATTATCGTCGGTCAACAAACCTACACATAGCAGATGTGAGCATAAACACATACAAATATCAACAATAACAGATTGTCTTCTTCCAATAAGTGTATACACACAATCACATATAGATTAACTTACTTAATTTTGCTGCTGTTGTTGGATTTCTGCAGGTCCTGATGCAGTTTGATGACCCACTCCTGATACTCCTGCTTCTGGATGCCGGTGACTTGCTTCAGCTCACTGGCCCACTTGTTCTCCAGCACCTGTTCAAAGAGCATCGTGTCAGACACTGAGGATCTTTAATAGGAAGGAAAAAAAACACTTTTTTCTCTGGATGTCTGTGAAGACTCTCAGTCATCCAGGTCATGGGTATTCTCGTGGTTTAATCGTAGCAACTGGACTTGCTTGAGTTTCTTTTTCCTCTGGAATGCTGGGACAGTTTTGAAACTTTAACTGAAAAAGTGTCCAAATGAATAACTTCAAATGTCAGAGGTGGAATAACTTTGGCGCTGCACTGGGATCAAGGGACACCTGCTTCTGACACTCGTCACAAACTACAGAGCGCTCCAGCTTTCTCTGTACCTGCTGCGCATCAAAGTGTTGAGAAGCTACTGCATTCACATCCTGGTCACTCAGCGTATTTCCCAGCTCGTGCATCACTTTGTCCATTTCTGTTGCTTGCCTGCCAGACAGGAAAGTATTCATTGATTTGCTTTGACAGGTGAGAAAATACATTAACATTTAAACAATGTAAACATGAGAGAAACTGGATGCTCTATTATCTCCATCTGAGGCAGGAAACTAACATCTAGCTGATATGAAGATCAACTACAACCTTCATGGCTTAGAAAAATAACATAACAACTGATTCACTAAACAAAGTTTACTTCCTTTCAAGCTGAAACATAAATATTTCACTACGATGACTAAAATGTGCAATGAAATATCTTCACAAAAACAAAGTGGTGAGACTACTGCATTCAATCAAAGACTAGAGGTGTTTATGTTTACAGCACAACAGGGGTTATGGGACTTGAGCATTTGATAAAAATTCATGGTACCCGTTGGATTATACATTCAGCCGTTAACAAAGACAGGTGCGTGCGTGCACGAAATCCAGAAATCTGAGTTCTTGGCAATAATCCCTGACACTAACCTCTCCTGTAGCTTCTTAATCTCCATATCTCTCTCACTAATGAGCTCGGAGATGCTAACAAAGTAGTTGTGCTCCAGGTTGAGGAGAGTATCTGAGGCGGGGGAGTGGATCAGCTCATGGTAAACATCAGCAAAGTCCTCATCCCAGCTGGGCTCTTCGGGCCGAGCATGCTCCAACGTGGTCTAAAACAGAGAAAACAAGACACCCATTTTAAAAACAGCCATTGCAGATTATAAAACCAAGGCATCCAACTTAACCGTGCCGTAACTTCCGCATTTTAGGGCTGCTTTATTGTATGAAACAAACTGTGATGATGCCCCACTGCACATGTTATTAAGGGAGGGGCTGACTTTTGGTGAAAAGTGTGAAAAGCACATTTTTTAGTGGAAGACAAACGAGGAAGTCAAAATGCAGCGTCAACACAGTTTCTGTGTTTTGCTCTGCTCAAACCTCCAGGGCAGTTGATGTACCCCATCCATAATAAGAGAAGCAACAGAACAGCATTCAGAATCTGAAACTCCTCTATTTATACGAGCTCAGGCAACAAACAGGACGGACGCTGGACAGCTTCCATGTGTATTTCTGTAGGACTGCAGTAAAACGTTAACTGGCCGTCTGTTCTAAATGTCTGAGTGCACTGGGACACAGGTGCTTTAGAAGACAACCTGGGGCATCCCCTGTCTTTTTATAAAGGCAGAGTTTAGACTTCTGAACTTTAAAGTGTAAAACCAAAGCATCTCATTGACCTTCTTTGAACAAGAAATAGGAAACACTCGCTTTCAGAGAAGCACGCCCGTGAACAGACCATATATGATTGCATTAGAAAACCGCAAAGTTTGGTTCTCACTTCGCAGTTTGTTTCGTATTGATCTATAACATAAAAGTGATGACTCCATCCTCGAATGTGTGAAACAGCCGCCACATATTGGATCTCTGGTAAGAAACGCATCAAAGTGTAACCAAGCAAAATGAGTGAGAGACATTAAACGCAGCATGCAGGCTCACGTAATGAGATTTTTTTCTCAGGAACTCATGAATAATCAATTTGGAGATGCACTGCACTACTTCTGTTTAAATTACTTTAATGATCCATGACGGCCTCAAAGTTAGCGGGAGCATTCAAGGACACTTCCGAAACACGCTGCTGTGCTACTACAGAAACATGGAGTAGTGGATATACGATCAGGGTGCATTAAGCAGCCAGCGTCTGAAATTAACTTCTTCAAACACCTGCCAAGTATAAAACGTGCTGTCCATATTATTAATAGATATTTTCCACACAAATATCTTCCTATGCGATTTTAGAAACTTGTACAGGGAATCAAGAAATGTTGCGTTGTCATTGCAATAGGATCCACCAGTCAGCCATAACGTTAATACCACTGACATGTGAATACCATTGGTTATCTCATTACAAAGCAATGCACTGCTGGGGGGAAACCATGGGTTCTGGCTTTTATGTGAATGTTACTTCAATATGTACCACTCGCCTAAACCTCCTAAAGCAACAGCGCTCCCTGATGGCAGCTGCCTCCCCTGGCAGGGCAATTCAGCCCATCGCGAAAACTGCTCAGAAATGGCTTGAGGAACACGACATAGAGCCCAAGGTGTCGACCCAGCTCCCAAACTCCCCAGATTTCAATCTGACAGAGCATCCACGGGATGCGCCAGAACAGGCCCGATTCATAAGGGGCCGGAAGCACCCGATGGCAAGACACCACAGGACATCCCCAGCGGTCCATATCCATGTCTTGACAGGTGAGAGCTGTTTTGGCAGCATGATGGGGGCGTACACAACGTTAAGCAGGTGGTCTGAATGTTGTGGTGTATAATCATGATATACCATATAATTCTAATTGCAAAACAGCTGTTGTTCTGCAAACTGTGTGTTGAAGCTAAAGTGGGATCAAGCGGATGTGGAAGTGGAAAAACTGAGATGCCACGTAGAGTTGTATATATATCTATGTCCTAATAATAGGGATAAGCATATAAGATGTTTTTTTGTCATAGAAAGCAGTTCTTAAAGTGGAACTGAGCTATTTAAGTGTGACATCAAGATCATTAATTAGTCACAGGGGCTAAAAAACAAACTGCCTGGGAAACAAGTTCACTACTTGTGTGTAAGACATCCACAGCAGTGCTATTTTATTGTAAAAAATGATACATACTTTAGTCGGCAATAGCCACAAGTTGGTGAAAAGTCATAAACACAATAGGACATGCAAATACCAAACAGGCAGAACAGCCACCGTCTCATTTATGAATGTAGGTGTTATGGATAAATGGATCCCAAAACACATCAGGACAACAAATTTGTAAAGAGGCTCGCCTGATTGTAGGTAGTGATACGACAGCATGTGCTGTATTGAACAGTAATAAAAACACTAAGATTAGTTTGCAGGCACAATAACACACTGAAACGTGTCATCACCTCCACATAAGACCTGGTCCATGCATTGGTGAGCCGGTTCACATCTACATCTCCTGTTGTGAGCCTCTGCAAGGCCAGCTCTGCCTCTCTGTCATAATCCAGAATGGTCTGCTTCTCGATGAAGTTGGAAAGCGAGGTTTTCAGCTCTGTAGGAATAGATTCACACACAGCAAAAAACAGTCACTGAAAAATCTATATTTTCATTTCAGTGCATGTCAAGCAGTACAGTGCAAAACAATTAGACTGGATCCACTTACTTCACACAGATAGAAACTTTCAAGGGCAGTTTATGTTTGCCCATTAATTATTGCGTGCCCAGTTTCATTATTTAATAGACACGCTTTGTGCATTTTGTTGCCTGTCTGACTCACATCGCATGTGGAAATGCTCCATCACAGGCGTGTAATTTATTAAACAGCTTGACTTTAAAAAAAGTGTATCATGAACACAATATCTGTCATAAAAAACATAATTCAGTTATTGTCATCAAATCTAGTTTCGACAAGAACTATATTATTCCAGGCAAAGTACACCCCTCTCAAGCTCCATCCATCCATCCGTCATCTCTACACCTTAATCCTCACTAGGGTCATGGGGGGCTGGTGCCTATCCCAGCTGGCTCAGGGCAAAGGCAGGTTCACCTGGACAGGTAACCAGTCTATCACAGGGCTACACTTAGAGACAGACAACCAAGCACACTCACATTCACACAATTTAGAATCACCAATTAACCTCAACATGTTTGTGAACTGTGGGAGGAAGCCGGAGAACACAGAAAGAACCCACGCTGCACGGGGAGAACATTGAGACTCCACACAGAAAGATCCCGGGTGTCCTCATCGGGACACGAACCGGAGACCTTTCAGCTGTGAGGCGACGGTGTTAACCACTGATCCACCTTGCAGCCCCTTATCAAGCTCCCTCAATCAAATAGTTATATTTAGGTTACAGACAACTGCTGCTAAGGTTAGGACCAGGAGGCATGGGTATTATATTTGACAAAGATGGCTTCAACAGTGAGCAGGAGGACACCACAAATGTACAAGTTCTGTACTGCAATATGCGTTACAACTGAAGCGCACCAGTCTCACCATTTTCTATGTAGCAGGGGATTTTGTGCAGCAGCATCAGGCGCCCGTGAAGGTCACTGATGTTCTCCTGAACGGGAAACTGCAGGGGAACTTTGAGGACACAGTTGTGTTTTCCTGCCCTGAACTCAAACACAAACTCCTTCTCAGCAGTGCTGGTCGCTTTGCCTTTGTTCTTCTTCATAGTCACAGCTGGAAAATAGAAGGCAAAGAACGAAAACACCATATTGTAAACCTCTGGGTAGAAATCAAACATAAAACACCACCTTCTCGCTGTCACTTCAAATTTGTGCAATAACCAACATGAACCTGCCAGCAACAGAAAACAGTATTGACATGCAGTGCAAGCAACACAGAGCAACACGTTTGAATCAGTTATTAAAGAGGCTTGCATTTGCTTAAATAATTATGTTTGACTAAGTAGCTGAGTGTAATTTAATCACCGTTAAGTGTCAGAGCTCCGTTTGTGTACAATGTTGAATTAGCTCAACGTTAGCTAGCAGTACAGCTAGGCTAGGTACAAAGGTAACATCAGTATTTTTTAAAAAGACACTCTGTCCTGGACGCGTCTAGCTGATCACAACATTTTTCTTTATTTTAATGGACATAAAACCCTTATTAAGAGGCAGATTTACCTGAGTATGAATGAACGCAGTAACGTTATTTCCTGTTGCAAAGGCAGCGGTGCTGTCAGTCAGCTGACCGCTTCGGAGGGAGGCAGTGACCGTAGCAGCACTTTCGCAACACGGAGACTCAGCAGTTCACCGTTTAATTGTCTATTGTGAGTAAAACAGCCATGAAATATGTCTCAACTTTTAGTGACCGCCGTGCCCAATCTATCTTTTTATTTATAGTTTTTTTTTCAATTTATTTATTTTTTAACATACAAAGCAACTGCACAAAAGCCACGAATCTACTGACCTGAAAGCTTAAATTTACCAGAGCGCTATTTTCTTATGGCACTAGCGCCCCCTGCTGGATTAAATCGTTTTCACTCGATGGTTCATAAACGATAACTTATTCATGGAGCTACAGTAAGAACATTACAGAAAACATTAAAACAACGATTCTGTAGACAAAGTGTTGTTGATCAAATATGAAAAAAGAGGCTCTTAGAGCTGTACGGAAAATATTGGAGGCTAGGGAATGATACTAATGATTTTAATATGGAAAAATGATAAATAATGATAACAATAATAACGAAAGAATAAATAATCTATATTCTGAACCACTATATTTATTTCAAAATAATAATATAATGTTTTTCCTCCTATTACTACTGCTACTACTACTACTAACAATAATAATGATAAGCATGTGTTTTATGATATTATTTTTATGTGGTTTTTAATTCTCTCGTTTTTTTTATCATTTCTATGAATAAGAAAGAAACAATGAAGACTTTTTAAAATTTTATTTTACAGTTAATCATAATTATTACTTTAAAACAATAATGTAGTGACTTCTCCAACTGTTATTAATAATAATTCTACCGCTACTGCTATTACTACTGGAGCAACTAAAACTACTACTACTATTATTATGTGTCCTCATAATGTCAATATTTTATAGCTTTACTCTATCATTGTGTTACATCCTGGAGATTACTGTAGTGAACAAACAATCAATATAAACTGTGATTATCTCAAAGGGATTCCTGATCGCTAAAGAAAAGAAAAAAACAGTATAAGTATTTCAAACAACTCAATATAAGTAGTTCTCGACATGGACTTTGTCATAAATGCTTTAGTTGTAAACCAAATCAATCAATCAAACAAACTAACTTTATTGATGTAGCACTTTTCAAACAAATCCAATTCAGTTCAAAGTGCAAGTGACAAGACTTAAAATGGTATAAAAAATTTAAAAAAAAAACTTTACAGACAGAGTGAAATAATACAGAATATTTAATGTGCATGACCATCAAATACTCTCAAAGACCAAATGCCTTCCAAAATGAATGGTACATGACTTATGAATCCAGGCAAAAGACAAACTTGGTGATTTATTTATTTTGATTCATTTTTCTAAATTGGAAATGTGTATGACATTCCTTATCCGATCGATGACGCGCAGCGTGCACGCAGACGCGCACGATTTCGAACGCGTGCGTGTGTTTTCTTCAAGTTTGAGTCAGTAAGGGTTCGTGTACAAATAGTACTCCATTGTAAAGTTGGATAATGCTTTATTTAAAAACCTTAAACTAAAAATAATATTTAATCGTTGCTTTATGAGACCCTTTAATTAATATATAACCCATACGTGGACTGTAACATGATTTTTGAGTTTGTTTTCACGCTCTTGCCCTGTTACAGGCTCGTTTTTCGGGTCGGGTATTTGCGGACGCTCCCTCCGACCGTTGAACCGTCCCGTCATACCTCGCGTGGCCAACGGCTCTCCACCGAGTGCTCGCTCATTGAATTACCGTACTCAGCCCGTTCAGCTCGATTTAGTGAAATAATTTGGAGTAAAGCAGGCCGCAGCAGCTCGCCGAGCACCGCCGCACTAACCCGGCCTTCTGTTCGTGTGACTACGGCGGTGGGGCGTGCTCTCCTGGGCTCGCTGGCTGGATTTGGTCGGGGAGGCAGGGGGAAGTACGGAGCTGGTCCTGAGCGATGATGGAGCTGGAGTCGGCCAGCAACAGAGGCGACCTGGGAGCTGTGGGGGACTCGCTGCAGCCACAGACCCCGAGCAGACACGAAAAGAGCCTGGGACTGCTCACCACCAAGTTTGTGACTCTACTCCAGGAGGCGAAGGACGGAGTGCTGGATCTGAAGGCGGTGAGCCCCGCAGCCCGGAGTCTTTGTTGTTAGCTAGCACATGTCAGTTGGAGCTACCCGCTGTCGTCGGCTTGCATGCACTTTCGCTAGCTTGCCTGTTAGCCTAGCCTAGCTGTGTGACAGGCTAATTTGAATGGATGGTGCCGCTGTGCTCGTGGCTTTGTGGTTTTTAATACACCGTGGTTACGTCCAAACTCCGGCTGAATCATGTGTCACGGTGTTTTCACGTCTCTCGGAGCAGAGGGGGGACGAGGAAAGGCTCGAGCTGAACTTTGAGAACACCGGTCAACTTTTCAGACTCTGCCCCCTGCAGATTCAAAGTTTAAAAAGTGGGTCAGCTTTTGTCGGTCCCTCCCGAGCTAACGCTGCTATATCTTCACACATGAACAGTCTTTTCTGATTGATAACGTCTTTGTCACTTAACGACATGCGTTCACTCGGTTTCCGATAGTTATTTTAAAACGCATTTATTCTAACAGACATTGCTTTATATTAGAAGTACATTCATTAAGATTAGCTGCATCCACCACAGTCTATGCCATTAACTGTGTTATTAGCTCTTCAGATATCACATTAACACTCCCAGAAACTATCATCCTACTTGTTGGCGAGTCAACTAATACCAGAGTCTCTTAATAACTTTAGAACTAGTTGGTTGTGGTGATTACAACTAACAAGACGTTGAAACCTAATTGATCCTTTCACACATTTCAGTTAATGTTACTCATGTTTAAGAAGCACTGAGCTGTCAACCCAAATACCACAAAGTCCAGATTAATTGATAATGAATACAGCTGACAAACTGTGCTATAAGTAGATCTAACTCATCCAACGCAGCAGTCTGTGGTTTTTCTCAACACAAACTGGTGAACCAGATGGCAGCATGACCAGCCATGCATTACTCTGTATAATACAACAGTTCCTTCTTCAAAGTGACCTCCATGACTCGGCGGACAGATTGGCTTCTCAGCAGCTGACACCCATGGTGGCGGTTTGCTGATAATAAAATACCGGACAGTTTCGCTGTTTTCTTTCTCTTTCGCTCTCATTTCAACCTGCTGGTGAAAACAATGTTAGTAATGAATACTTTATAAATAACGAGTGATTAATTGATTTACTCTGTCTGGACCTATATACTGCATCCTACACAGAATAAGACTGATTACAGGTTAGGTTAGCTGGAATGCTTTGGAGGATTTCTTATCATGTTAGCACATCTTTATTTAAAGGGCGTTCGGATTATCTAGTCTTGCACTTAAAACAGAAACGCTGCTCTGACTGGAGGCTGTTTCTGTGTTGACACTGCTGCAGAAAGTAAAAGGCATCTCATGACATCAGGCACTGAAGAGTGAACCTTTCAGAATATTGATTTCTGTCACAGGTTCCTTTGCCATCTGTGGCTCCCATCGCCGCACTAAACTGGAAGTCTTCATGTTTGTTTTGCATGAGTGAACGATTAAATTATGTTGTATGAACTGGCAAATGGTTGACAAGTATGGTTGAGTAGCCATCATCCAGCAGGCCTGGGACTGCAGTCTACCCACAGGGCCTGGTGACAAAGCCTAAACTTATCAGCACTTGCCATATGGATATCATTAGCTAGTTAAACACTAAGCTGCTAGGAAGGACGATTAATTGGCACGACAATGGTTTGTAAAGCTTTGTAGTTTTCGGTTGCATGGCACCTGTTGGCACAGACACGACAGCCATTCTTTTGTGTGTGTTTCAGCTGCAAGCATGCTGAAAGAGATTGTGTTTTTCATTGCATTTGTCCTGTGGTTCAGGCGGCAGACACCTTGGCAGTGCGGCAGAAACGGCGTATCTACGATATCACTAACGTGCTGGAAGGAATCGGACTGATTGAGAAGAAGTCCAAGAACAGCATCCAGTGGAAGTAAGCACACGGTTCAGTTTGTTCCCCAAACGATTGAAATACAAAATTACATAAGTGCTGTATTTGCTGTCTAAAAGGATTCTCTGTGTTCTGTGTTCTTTAAAAAGCAAATGTTCATTTATATTTTAAATGTTAATACAAAAAACAACATCTCAGTCTGCATGGCAAGAGCTAGTCATGTTTTTTTTTTTTGGAGTTTAGTCCTGACCTGACAAGGCCTTGATTTCAGAGCAGTAGTTGTGGATAGGTACTGAGGGGGATGAACTATCTGAAGCCAAACAACTAACCATGTGTCCTGCAAACACTTACGCCACTCCCAATCGATTGCTTCTACTTCACATCATAAAGCATATACGCATTATAGTGCCAGAGAAATAACTGAGAAGCCTATTCATCTTAGCATCACAGCACTAATTGCTGATTTTACCCTGTGTGACAAACACTCTCCAGATTGTGTGACTATAACCGAGTCTTAACAGGGAAGAAATTAGTTGAAAAAAAGCGTGAAGTCATATGGAACAAATTAGAATCTCAGTTTGTACAGTACACGTTCATTTAGACGATGGAAGTGACTTCAGGCAGGGTGCGCTGTAAATGTCCTGTACGTATGAGGGTTTGAACAAGTGCACTACTACAATAGAGAAGAGCCTGTCTCCTGCAGGTGAGCTACTACAACGTCCTGGACAGCTGCTGGTTGGGCTAGAAAAATAAATGTCAGAATGGCTTCGCTCACTGCAGTTCATCATAGTGCAGTCTGTATTAGGACAGTTGTTTTTGGCCGCAGTTTTTATTAATTTGTCAGTGATGTGCTCATTGATCAGCAGAGAAAAAGAACTGTAAATGAGCAGGAGTTCATCTGCTGTGCTCAAAAAGGATCTTTGGTGAAAAAACAGACCATCTTAGCTTTAATTAATCATGTGAACCGTGATGAGAGTGTAGCTCTCTCGATTAATGTGACCCACGATTTAGGGTTCATCTAATAATCAGCTGTTCCACTGTTTAATTTGGCAGATGTAATTAATGTTAATGCTACTGTACAGTTTATTAGTATGTATGACTGCTTGATTAAATGTCAGGTCTGTGAAAAGCTGCGGCTGTTGCTGTATTTGTCTGAAAAAACTGTCTTCCCTCAGGGCAGCTGTATCTGCAAAAGTGAATGAGAATGAATTTGCATAGCTGTATCAATAATAAAGCGAGGCGTTGATTAGAAACAGCATGTGGGTTCATGAATGTTTAAAGTTGTCTACTGTCGCTATATACAAATGTTCCTTTGTGTTTCAGGGGCGTAGGTCCAGGCTGCAACACCAGGGAGATAGCCGATAAGCTGATTGACCTGAAGGCCGAGCTGGATGACCTGGCCCTCCGAGAACACGAGCTGGACCAGCAGAGAGTCTGGGTCCAGCAAAGCATCAAAAACGTCACAGATGACTCCAACAATAGTCCATATCCTCCACTGTGCAGCTGGTGTGTAGAAAAGGTTTTTCAGTGATGGACTCCGTGGTCAGGGTCGACAGGTTTATTCGACCTGAAGTTATTCTGATGCGTTGGATTTGTTCGTCATTCCTTCTTCTTCTTCAGCCCCAATCAACATAATAATTTGTCTCCGGCTTGACGAAGCTTGTGAGTGGTCGTCATGTGGCTTTTCACTTTACGTCTGGTGGTACATTCTCTCTGTTTTTGTAATTTCAGTAGAGCTTTGGTGAGTGACGTAAAAAACCCATATGACAAATATAGCTCTGTAACTTTCACCTGTTCATGGAAAATATTTAGTGGATTTGCAGGTTCATAAATGTTTCTCTGAGCAGTGCCAGACCTGTGACTTCATCCGTCTGTAGGTACTGACGCAGACCAGATTCTTTCCTGCATAAGACAGGCAGCCAATTTTATCATGAAAGTCCAACGCCCCTGAAAAACCCTACTGTCTGAAAACCCTTCACTTCAACCCATTTGCAAACATGCCAGAATGAATAGATGTGTTCATTTTTTTATGCTTTGTGAAAAACGCTCACGATCAGCAGTAACACAACTGTGACACCTGTCCAGCCTCAGCACCTGGCAGCTCATCACAGATAATCCTGGGTGTACATCCCCAGTGACTCGGCCAGCTCTGTCCCAGCTCGCGTTGAGGCTCTGTGTTGTGGTCACTTAAAGGGGCAGTCAACTCATTTTGCACATTAAGGACTCGGAGAGTATTACTCATCCTGTTAAAACGGTTTTATAATGGCCTCTGTGGTTCAGACAGGAGATTTCTACAGTGTGAGGAAATAATCCTGATGATGTCATTAGGCGTACTGGGACGTTTAACAAACAGGGAGGGTGTATTGGAAGGTGGTATTTAGTTACAGGATTGAAGTGAGAAGCAGCGTTTTTACAGCTTGACTCACACTAGAGTCACATGTTGACCATTTGTTTTGTCATCCAATCAAGTGCAGCAAACAAAAGCTTGAGTTTGCCATTAATAACACTGTCTATGTCCGTGGTTAATCAAACAGCCTTGAGAGGAAATGGCTTTTGCTCATAACTTTACTGAATCCAGTTTGCAAAGGTGTATTGTTAAGTTGTGTCTTCATTTCAGTGCCAAATACAGTTTTTACTGGAGTTGGACCCTTAACACATTCATACTATGGCATATGTAAAACACGAAGACCTCTGTGGAGCTTTTAAAGGTAATAGTTGCACATGCTCAGTCTTGGAGATTTTCTGTGCCAGAAACTTTCCATCACTCATCATCTTTTTCCTTTTTTTTGTAGGTGACACACTCCTCGCCATCCGTGCTCCCATCGGCACGCAACTAGAGGTGCCCATACCAGAAGCTGTAAGTCGTTTTTGGAGACTTTTCTTGCTCCTTTGGTCTGTCTGCTGTTTTATTAATGTCTCAGACTGAATGTATGTTTGAATGCAGGTTCTTAACGGACAGAGAAAGTACCAGATCCGTCTCAAGAGTTCATCTGGTCCCATCGAGGTTTTATTGGTCAATAAGGACCCCTCCAGTGCCTCTCCTGTTGTTTTGCCCGTCCCTCCTCCAGATGACGTCCTTCAGAACCTCCCAGCGCCGACGCCTACCTCCCAGCCGCCCACTGCTGCCTCACAGGTCCACACCTTACATCAGTGTTCTCTGTGCATTTAGTAGGGCTGTTGTCTGTCTTTCATGACTGTGAAAAGGACAAGAATCAGATAACTGTGGTGGACATTGGTCTTAAAATTCGTAAAGCGCTAGACCAGTCCAGGCGTATTCATGAGAGCCTGTTTGCTTCAGTTATGTGTCAGTGAAATACTGTTAATATGACTGTGGGAAAAACTGTAACTTCTGCTTTTTGTCATTCAGTTTTATGGTTGTGCAACGTCATGATTTTCTTCCTCCCACTGTTCACCCTGCAGGTCCCCAAAGCAGCTCCAGCCACTCCCACAAAACCAGCTCTCCCCACAACGTCGGCTACTGCAGCCAACCAGACGATGCCAGGTAAGGAGGGACCAAGTCCTGGTGACTGATCTTAAGATTTGTGAATTATTGTTCTGTTCCTGTGAGTGAGTTTACACCCATCATGCACATTCTCTACATGTCTTTTCTTTAAACTGGTCTCATGTCGGTTGTATTTCAGAGGTGACGAGCACCACGCCGCTCACCCCGACAACAGAAACGCCTGCTGCCGTCACTCAGCAGCTACAGTCCTCCGCCTCTCTGGATGGATCTGTGTCCTCCTCTGCCTCGGCAGTGTTTGAACCAATCAAGTCAGACCCGTCTGAATGTGAGCATCATGTTCTTCTAAAGCTCTCTGTGACATTTTGATGGTTCATTTGTATTTTTTATTGTTGAATGCTGAATGGGAAAGTGTCATTTTCTACAGATGGAGGCTGATTATGCAAACATCTATCCAGCTACTTTCCATGAACAGTGATGACATAGAGAAAACATTGATGCGTGCATTCTGTGCTTCTCTGTGTAAATGTGTTTTTGTGGTTTCTCTGCAGTGCTGGATTTCCCCAAAGAGCTGTCAGAAATGTTTGATCCAACAAAAGGTAAGCTTCTCTTGAGCCATTTCACGAACTACTCGATTTATCACTCATCAGTAAACAGCACGCTTCTCCAAACTTGGAGCTTTTACATTTTTCATAAAAGGATCAAATATTCCATTATGGGAAGAGGAAAGTCCTCCATTTATTATTAATGGAGGGAAAACCTGAAAAAACAAGATAGTTTCTTCTTGAATCATAATAAGCTGAGATGAAGATAAATGGTTTTCATGAGACTGTTTCCACTCTTTCATGTAACACTTGTCTTCAGTGTCCTGCAGACGTTTTTCTCAGTCTTTCTTTTTTCCTTCATATTCCTCCTCTGACAGAGATCATGAGTGGAGACCTGTTGGAGGACTTGATGTCATCAGAAGGTATATTTTCTTACAGAGTGTTGGAAAAGCAGTAAAATAGGTTGAAAATATACATAGTACACACTAATACACAGTCCTGTAGCTTAATGTCCCTCGTCTGTTTTTCTGTCTGTTCCCCCCCCAGTGTTCTCGCCTCTCCTCCGCCTGTCCCCTCCACCCAGCGACCACGACTACATCTACAACCTGGACGAGACAGAAGGCCTGTGCGACCTCTTTGACGTGCCCATTCTCAACCTCTGACCCCCGAGGATGTTGAAAACAGTCGCCCAAATATGCTAATCTACCTTCATTTTCTCCACGTCTCTCCTCCCCCCTCACTGGCAGCGAAGGTGAGAAGAGGGGCAGGAAGCCAACACGATCTGATGAGCGTTTCAAGGACACGTCTGCGCCGACGGGGCGAGCTGAGGCCGAGCTCGGTCAGGCAGCAGCTCGACGTGAAGAGACACAGGCGAGAACAAAACGTTTTACTTACTGCTTTTCCAAGGAAAGAGAGTCGTAATTATATTTTTGGATTCTTGTGTATTATAAAGTGTTTGTGTTTCAGCTTTCCCCCCCGTGTGCTTGTGAGCGTGTCTGCATACTTTATGTAAGTGTGTGTCTTTTTGTATTGAACTTGTCTCTTGAGTCGGGACGTCTCCGGGAGGAAACACGAGAGAAGCCCTTTTCCTATCAGGTCAAGAGTCATGGCAGACTAACAGTTCACGCATGGCTTCACCAAGTCCAAACACAGCTGGTTAAATATGCACTGTCCTCATGTACATAGAGAATATATATTTTGTATTACCAGCACACGCGGCTATTGTCTATTTCCTATGTTTGTACTGCAGGCAGAGCAATAGTTGCAAGAAAGCGAAAGACTCAAATGCTCGCACCGTATGTATGAACTGCTTTGTTTTACGAATTCATTTTAATCAAACCTTTCAGAGCTGAAGTGCTGCCGTGAACCAGTTAGCGAGAGAGGATGTTAACGCCGAGCTACTGACGCCAGTAAGCTCCGAGACGTAAACAGCCAAGGACCAAAACGAGGGCGAGTTTTAGAATTCAACAATTTCACACGAAGGTCGACGAGGTGCTTGTTAAAATCAGCAATAAAACACGACTTCCTGTAAACTCCACATTATGACCGCCTTGTTCTCCACCAGGTTCCGTGTCGGCTCTTCAGAACTCAGAGGTTTCATTTCTATAATTTTAGTGTCGTTTTGAACCTTGCAGGTTTTTTATTGGCTCCGATTCGACTTCGCTGGTCAGAGGAACAGCTTCCCAGAATGAGTTGAGACTGTCTTTTCAGTTCTGATGTCTGTATATGAACACCGTTGTACCAAGTTGATTTGTATGTACGCGTTTCTGATGTGTTTTTACTGGACATCGTCATTATGTCATTAAATTTGCTCTGGTTTTTGTATATTTGGCACAGATCCCTATTCAGTAATTTCTATTGTTTTGTTTCTGTCTGTAGTAAATGGAAGTACTGCCTCTCACTCTAAATTAGATGGGGTTTTTTTCCCCAACTCTGATTATTCTCTGATGAGCAGCAGTTCAGGATGAGTTGTTCCTACTATGAGACCACCAACATTCATCTTTCGACAGTACTTTCTTCTGTAAAATCACTTTTTGTGTAATAACGTCCCTTTTTTTTTTTTTTGTGCCCAGAACGACGTGTATGTATGTACTGTGTATATCCCTCTACTGCTTGTATAGAATAGCATTTATTTTTTATACCAGCTAGATATATTATTCCAGGATTGTCGCTACTAATTTGGGGCTACACGTCAAAGTTTAAGGAGTTTTTCCTCCACAGAACCTCGTGCTTTATTGAAGCAGCCTGTCTCGTTGTTGCACTTTCTACATCACTGTGGACGGGCTGCTCGTCCTCCGTCGGCGTGTTGGGGCGGTGTCGTGAGCCGCCGGGGAGGCTGAACGTCTGCCGGCATGTGGGGCTCGAGCACGCAGACTGTTCTGTGTTTTTTTCCAAACAGGCTCACCTTTGCTAAGCTGTAGTTGCATCAAATGAAACAGAATAAACACTTTGATATTGTTTGTGCGTCGTCTGGTTTCGTGTTTAAGTGACGTGTTAACAGTTTGGGACTTGATTTGGTTTTACTGTGTCTACTCAAGTTTTCAGCTGAGGGATGCAGTTAGTTTCTGTTTTTCTGATTTAAAAACTGGCATAGCTGTTTCTGGAAACCTGATAATATCCACGAAACAGTCAAAGTACGGCGTGTGATGTTATTTACAAGTCGTCTCTCCCATTTAGTGTCAAAAACCTGTTGAGATTATGATTGAATTAGTGGGGTTACATTCCTCAATAATTAAGAATACTGTAGAGTGTCAGCCTCAATATTATAAGATTCACTTTATTGTCATTGCAACGAATACAACAAAAAGTAAGGTGCAGGCCTTTCAGTGCTAACAAATACAAACCCTAACTTTGCATACATATACACAACATAATATAAAAAATATGCAGCAGTTGTGTATTTACAATATATTGCATTTATTATGATAAAGAGGCATTTATGGCTTTGACAGCAGTTAGAATCAGATCAAGTGTATTTTATGTAATTTTTTTCAGGTTTTAATCATAAAGATGTCATTTCTTCTTGTACTTTTACACCATGCATGACGGTACAGAGTCAAAACCCCAATAATTAAACTTGTTAGGTTCATACTCTTTGTGCTCTTTTATTTTTCTGAAAGCACTGTTGTTTATGCGCTATATGAATAATCATGAGTAGAGTAAAGACCTAATGCAAAAAAGAGCTACAAGGACTTCTAATATACATTATATGTCAATAATGGCTGCCAGCAACTGTTGCTGGATGTCATTCCCTGTTATCTCTTCCTCCCCATGTTTCCTCTCAACTCTCTACAAAATAACCATAAAGATATCTGACAATGTGTCTGCACAGTAGAGAGATATGAAATACAGCAGGATCAGTGCAATGATATGCTGAGTGACAGGAGGTCTTCTTCTCGCTGCAGGCCTCTCTGCTCCTGTTTCAGTAACAATAAGCCGATCATTCAATACTGATCATGTGGTGCTGCTGGTGGAAGCAGGGACAGCAGGGGGCAGCTGTAGCCAACTGTATCCCACTCAGCTTACTGACTGCTGCTTGCAAATGCAGAAGAAGATATGATATACCTCAGCAAATGAAGCAAAAGCTCTTTTTTTAAAATGTATTTTTTTTAAAATTTCAAAGTAAAAGCAGTGTGTTAGTAAAAAGGAGAAAAACAAACAGATGAATTGTGTTATGAGCCCTAAAAGTTATTCATTGTTGGATGTGTGGACGAGTAAAGTTTCTGCCTGTTTTTTTTTCTTTTCTGTGTGTTGCATCAAAATGATCCCGGTTCACACTTACTTGTGTCTTTTCTGATCCAGTATGCGCAGCATGGTGGTCCAGTCAAACACAAGCGGGCCTGATCTGACCCATTTCATGCTTTATGTGACACTTGTGACCCACATACCGTCAACTATTAGAACCACATTGTGATTCCAGTAATCTGGCCCAGCTCTCACCCACACAATTAATACTGATATTACATTAAAGATATGATGAATGAAGGGTTGCCTTGTTGCAGTGGAGATTCCACCCAGTCCCAAGTTCTCGTCCCACTTCAGGCTTATCCTCTGTTGCACAATTTGCACGTCTTTTATTTGTGTTTCTGAAAAGCTGAAACGTAACACCGTTCGGCCGACCTGCAGGTCTTGAATAGGAAAGGACGTTTTATTAGCAAGTGCGGATAAATAGCGACAGTCTTAGACTTTGCAGTATATTAAAGAGAAATGTAGAACAACACCTCCCCTCCAGGACAGAACAGCTGAATAACAGATCTCCTGGTTCCTGTGTGCTGAGGAGTCTGCTATCACAAATAAAGATTTAAATCTCAGTCATGGCAGGTTTACTGACTTTTGCTGCACTGAATTCCTACTTTAGTAGACATAGGCTGTTAGGTTTTAATTTTACATATGAGCAAATACTTTTCTTGACATCTTTGTGATCTTGAACATGTGTTTTGGCTCAAGTAGGATTTTTTCATGCAGGACTCTTACTTGCAGGGGGAGTGTTTTTACATTACTGTATTTGTAATTTTACTCAAGTAAATGATAAGAATGCTTTCTCTATCTTTGTAGAGTAAATTGTATGTTTCTTTCCCGTGCACTATTCTCTTGCAGCTTTATTTTCACATTAAAGCTCCAACTATACCACACTGTGCAGGGAGGGTTTTATTGTGAAAAGCTTCACCGGAACCTGCTTTGTAAATCCGGCAACTTGACGCAAGCCTTCGACTGAGCGACTCCAGCCAACCCGGAACTTTTAACTGAACTAATCCCTCCTGAAAACTTGCTGTAAGGAGTTTTCTCCTGACTTTCTCAACCGTTCAGATGCTGCTCTAAGAAGAGCCACTTGTGTGGACTGACCTGGTTCCTCCTGAAGGACGTAAAAACTGACAGTTGCAGATGTTTCTCGCTCCGAGTGCGGCGGTTCCTGCAGGACAGTAGCCCTCGACTTGTCTTTTCATACCAGGTAGGTGGAAAAAAAAAAAAAAAAAGAAAAGGCTGTGCAGCTGATCTCACACTTCTTTCACGACTCGGTGTTGTTTTCTGAGAACTTTGACATCAGTTTTAAATAAGTTCAGAGGCAGTTTGGGGGTTTTTATATGCACTGAATGTTGAAAGTGAGCTTAAAAAAACAGAGTTTATGCAGCAGCACATGAGTTTATGAAGCAGGGAGAGAGTGTGTAAGACTGTTATTATAACAACCAGCAGCATGAGGCTGGTGTTATAAATGTTTTTTTATTTTTCTATTTATGACAATCCACTAAATCACAGCAGACGGTTTGATCTGTGGCAAACCTCCATCCAAAAAAAAAAAATGTCTGCATTTGAGATTTACTCAGTGTGCTTCCCTGTCAGGTCAGGAATTCCAGGCAGCTGAGAGTTTCCCCCTCCACACACACACACACACACACACACACACCGTGGGGAGGGGGGTTGTCTGTCAGTCCAGGGGGTCTGAGACACACACACTGGGTCTGCAGGCCAACAAAAGGACTGGGCGTGCTGTGGTTTTAAGCTCGATGCAGCAAACTGCTCCCAGAACAGCCAGACGGTGACAGCTGCTGCTCAGCGTGGTCGACTTTTAGGGTTTTGTGTGATCTGTTGCTCTCCTTTTGAGAGATTTCTGTTTTACCACTAAGGGGAAACTACTACATTCGTGCCTAAATGAGTTTTGCTGTACGGTAGCTGTCATAACTTCCCATATTCAGATCACCTGTTGAGCAGTCTGGTAACAGTACTCGTGTGGAAAAACAGAAAAGCTGCCTATGATCAAACCTAACAGGGATAGATGTTCATTCATTCATTCGCTTGATTATTGGATTGTTTGTCTGAACTCTAAAATGGAGGAAAATTGGCAAAAATGTCTTTACAAGTGGCTGATTCTCTATATGACGTTGTTTTATTATCATATCAGCATTTGTGAATCCAATTTTTTTGCATTTTAAAGTGCTGCACATCCATCAACCAATCCAAACAACTGTCACATTTCATCTAACCGGATATTCTTTAAATGGATTTTTAGTTTACTATCATGTCTGCATTTGTGCCTCCAACTAACTTTGACATTTTTGCGTAAAAATGACGCCAACCAGTCAGCTCATCGGCTATTTGACAAACTCATAAACCGACTAATTGTCGCGGATCATCACGAACTCGTCTAACTGGGTAATCTTTAAATAGAAATAATCACTATCAACCTAATTATGTCCGAGTCGTGTGCTGCTGAAGCCTGAACTTCACTTCTGTGTGAGAGCAGACGCATGCAGAAGGTGTGGTTTCAGCTTCCACTTGCTTAATTCAGGGACATCACAGACAGGCACAGACAGGTACAGACACTGACTGATACTCACACTTTGGTGGTTCAGCTCTCTGGAGGCTCACATGAAAACCTCAACTCTGAGTTCACAGAAAGAAGCAACTTTTTTGTTTTTTGTTTTTTGTTTTGTTTTATCTTAGCAGCAGCAGTGAGGAGCTGAGGTGTCCCAAAAAAAACCTCAGTGTTAATTTGAGTGGTTAAAAGTGCAAAAAATACGACTTCCGGCTTTCATTTTCTATGTGAAGTTGTTTGTCTGAAGAAACTGTAGGATGTTGTCGACTTATTTCCAGCTACAGGTTGTGTTACAGTCAGCTGATGTAATTAAACGTAGTGTTGCATGGAGCTGATTGATTCGGGCATTTCTGCATTTTCTGAGCTTGAGCTCTCCTGCAGTTGAGGAAATGAGCAGCTTAAATCACAAGCTTGACTTGATCCTTCTTCTTGCAGAATGCCAGTGCAGCCTGAGCCCCATTCAGTGTTACACAAAGCCTGAAACGTGTACAGACAGGTCGCGATGAACGCACACTAATGGAGCTTTGTCGCGAGCATGAGTTAACTCACAGCGCTGGAAGTCTGCTCCACTTAAATGGATGTTTAACCCGCTGCTCTAACTAATCTGCCATTGTTAACTGAGCTAAAAGTCCACTGTTCTTGTTCCCGAGCATTACTGGGTGAATTTGGTAAGAAAGCACCTTCACACAGTCTATCACATGTGGAAACACCCACCTGGAAGTGTCTCACAAGAGCTCAGAAAGGTGTATCTAAGCTTGACGTTGTGATAAGGGACAAGATGTTATCTCCAGGATATCTGTCATGGCACTATGATGGCACAGTTTTCCTCTTTTCAAAGACCGTTTCTGCTATTTATAGAAGTTGAGTGAAATGAAAATAAAAGCTCCTGGCTGTGTGAACACACTGGTTGCTGTTTCTCAATGTTTTTATTTGTGCAGATGCGAGCAAACTGTGGTGCGGTGGTTCACACCGCAGGGCAACACGGCTCTGTGTCTTTGTGACTTTTCTCAAGGTTTCCTCCCACAATCCAAAGCGTGGATGCTGCTTTAATTAGAGATTTTTGTCCCTTGCTGTGAGTCTGCATGGTTGTCGCTCTCCTTGTCTTATATATATATAGCTACTGGATTGATGAGGTGGATGGATGGATCTCAAAGCTACAGAATGTGATTGTAAAGTCACCTTATTGAGTAAAGACTCAAAGTTAATATGCAGGAAAACAGCAGTAGAGTCAGCTGAACTTACTGCACTTACCTTAAAGTTTACCATCTCAGCGCATGTTTGCTTATTTGTCATAACTTAATGCACGAGACAAAGTGTTCACCTGATGATGGTGTTCTAATGGAAGAGAAGTTATCCTGAGGAATGAACATGAAACTGGATTAAAGCACTAAAGCCTACGACTTGATGATCTTGTAAAATCTGCAAAAAAAAAAAACCCGTAACTACCCATTTGATTTATGTTTAAATATGTGTTCATGACTTGCTTCTGAGACTGTTTAAGTCTGCAGCTGAAAGAAGAAAAGAAACTAAAACCAGTCATAAAAATAGGCGTTTGGTCACGTTGTGCCAACACTGATTTCTTTTTTCTAGTAAATGCACTCAGAGCTGGAGCTGGAAGACCTGGACTGGCTCAGCGAGTTGATCACGTACAGCTTTGAGTCAGTGTTCGGGCTTAGTGAAGCCAGATAATGAAAACATATCCTGGGTCTGATGAATCATACAGACCCCAAGTTTCACAATAATCCATTTATTTGTTGAAGCGTTTTTACAAACGTCACTTTCATGGTGGGTCTCAGCAGAAGTCAGTGGATTAATGTGCTGTGAACCGTGAATGTCTGCGTTTCACTGTGGACCAAAGTGGTAAACCAACATCACGTCTGTGTAGCTGCCTGTTAGCATCGCTGAACATTTCACTGTTAATACATACCTGTGAGGAATTGGTTTGACGAAACAAAACAAAATCTCCTTTCATTCTTTGTGGTGCAACCGAAGCGATAATTTAGCATCCAGCAGATGGGTTCGGTTTCACATTCATCACTACGCAGCTCAGACGGCTTAAAACCCGCAGGCGCTCTGTGTTGTTTCAAAGAAATGACATGCCTTCACCCCGAGTTTTCCCTCGAATAAGCTGACTCATAAGCTGCCCTCGAATAAACCTACATTCCTACAAATCTCTTTAAGATTAAGGGGAAGTTGACCTTCAGCACCAGCACCAATACACCAGAATGATGTCTGCACCTCAGGCTTTTCTCTCCATCTGGTCTGTGTAAATCATCCAGAAACAAAACTTTAAGTGTTTGCATCTGCTTGTTGACCGTAATCATCAGCCCTCCCCGCTGTTGACAGGCATCATCCACGTTTTCATTCTTGCTTTGAAGGCATTCTTTATCAGGAAGGACGCCTCGGGGCAGAGAGGACAGTGAACGCGTGTGGTTGCTGTTGTGATAGTAAACCTGCCATAAAGCCAGAGAGCTGCACTGTTTTTTGAGTGATCCAAGAGATCAGGCAAAACACCGGGGGTTATTAATCACACTGAACACAAGCAGGCACCGAGCTCGACCCTTTTCTGTCATCGTGAGCTCGTGAAACGTACAGAAAGAATTTAGATCCAGTCGTATTGTTTCCTTGTGCTGAGAGCGAGAGGACGAGGAAGGGGGAAGGGTTGGAAGCACAACAACAGCTTCTTCTGTATCCTCTGGGAACGCTGTCTGCAGGCCGGGGAGGAAGTGTGCATGTGTGACGTGGGAAGTGGGAGAAAGAAAGAGTGAACAAGTTTTAGACACTTTTAGACTTCTCAGTAAACGGGGAACACACACTGCTCAACAGACTCATAGTGAAAATGAGGATCGACTGCCGTGAGTCATTTCTGGCCTCACCTCACAGAGATGCTGCTCTCAGGTCGCTTAGCCTCTGCTCTCTCTTGAATTAATAGTCGGTCTGACACAGCAGCGCAGCCCACGCTTCTGTTGTGAGGAGTGACATCTGAACAGAACTATTGTTGAACTCTTCCTACCCAAAGACTTCAGATGCAAAGTCAAACCGCATCGATTTCAAATAGTCGTCTCTGAAACATGACAGAGGTTCTGCTGGGAGTTGTTCTTTCACATCCCTCTGGTGCTCAGTATGCTGTCCGAGACTTTCATTTCTTTTTTTCCGTCAACAGCTACAGTGTGGGGGAGTCCAGAGGGGCCAACATGCCTCAGCAGAAGGACATAGTGAAGATCGCCATCCAGATGCCGGGGGCCTACCCCCAGCTCATACAACTGGATCAGGTAATGCGTGCTCACACAGTTCCAAATAGCTCTCTTGTTCAGTCTCCAAATGCCCATAAAGTGCAGTTAAAGCAGGTCATAATTCACTCTGGTTGGCAATAATTAAGAAGCCCATATTATGCTTATTTACAGGTTCTATTTTTGGGGTCTACTAGAATAGATTTACATGCTTTAATGCTCTAAAACCACATTATTTTTTTAATACTGTACATTGCTGCTGCACCTCACTGTGTCTGAAAGGTTTTAGCTTCTGTTTCTTTAAAGTCTCCCCTCCGTCTGCTCTGAGTGGTCAGCTGGCCCGACGCCACTGAGGCAACATCGGTTACGTATCATAACCTCAGACTCTGTGGCGTAGCTTCCTGTGTCCACTTCCCAACACTGGACGCTTGATTGGAGCGCGACTGCTTGACGTCTTCAACAGCAATCAGAACAGGAGTCACCTCCCTAAGGCCAAGCCAGCATTGGCTGCACCTGACTGGATGATTCTTCACTTGGCTGCTACTAAATTTCAGACCCTACCCACATGGCCGCTCGTTACGAAAGTTTCTTCTTCATTTTGAAACAGATCAGCGAAATGTGTTTGTGAAAACATCTGAGGCAAGAAATAAACAATACAGTTACTGAATCTGTCTTCAATCTAGATCACTACCAGTCAGGTTGAGTTTTTCCGAAGTTTCCAGAGACGCCAGACGGCCCTCAACCCCCCTCATTTGCATAAAGTAGCAGATACCTTATTTTTATGCAAATGAGGAGCAGGCAAAAGGATGCTACATCTCTGAAAATGCAATGCTGGGCGGCTCACACAGACAATGAATGGGAAGCGCTGATGCAACAAATCCTGTGGACACGTACCTTAAAAGTTGTTGGCTGCTAACAAGACCTCAAAGTTCAGCCGTTTGAACCGGAATCAGAAAGAACCCAGAACTCGGAGAGACTCTTGCTGAAGTCATGACGTTGTGCTCAGTGCTCGCATGTTGTGGCATCTGTCAGTATTACAGTAATGACATTCCTCTGGCATGTGGCGATACAGGCCCAAGTAGCCACACAATGTGCTAAGACAAGGATTTTCCAATTGTTGTGTGGACATCCAAAATAAGGACTGGTTTTTCTGTTCCTCGGATGCTGGGAGTGCACGAGGACTTTTGTGTTGACTCTTGCAGCCGACAGCAGAACATTACTTTACTCTTTACTTGAGGGTGTGACAAACCTGCTACTAGCAAGGCGTTATGCAAATATGTTACATGGAGACGTAGATAAGTGGTGAAAGAAAACCCTGCAAGGCCTTTGGGGCAGTTCAGGAGAGAGTCACTTTGGGTTTAACCTTTTTACCTGCACGTAAAAGCTTTGAAACCCTTAAGAAAAGGGGAAACCCCAAAAAGCACAACAAGGGCTCTATAAAAATAATCCAGTCGTAGCGTCTTAGTCATACATGGAGCCTCTGATGTCTGTCAGACTTTGCCTGAGTCTGCCGCTTCATCTGCTAGACTTAGTAGACTGGAAGACCGCGGGGGTAACCTCAGCCCCAGTGAGTTTAACTGACAGTGACACCAGGGCATGAGCGCTGGATCGAGAGGTTTGTGGTCTGAGAACTCCCTGGAGCTGCAGGACTACGACCTACAACACACTAAAAGTTTTAACCACACGCAACAAGTTTTATGTGTCTGGTTTGTTGAAGGTCATCAGCGAGTTACTGCATACCGGAGACTACTCGCTGTCGTGCTGCTTATAAACTGGCACGTGATGGTCTCTGGTGAAACGGTCGATCTGAGAACCACACAGGAGGCGTCGTGTGATCTCACGCATTTATTTCTGCGTGTGTTGTGTTGTTTCTTAGAATATTTGTTTGCTGAACATGTGGGCTGCCGCTCAGTCTGCCAAACCAGAACCAAGGCTTCTCTGACCACAGCGCTACTTATCTGAGTTAGCATTTGTCACTTTATTATAAATAGATCTCATCATCTAAACCGAATTGTGGCTCCATGGAGGTAGTTTACAATGTTTTTTAAATACAACTGGCTGCAGCTGAGTATTTCAATGAATGTAGTTTAGCAGCCTTCTGACGTTTTTGGGGCACACATGCTCATGCACATGTGGGGTTTTATTATGTAAAGTTATAACCAAACATCTATTTATTCAAAGCATGCAATTTATTAGAGAAACCCAAGAAGAGGCTAAAATCATCGTATTATTGGTTGAACTGGCAGATTCTTTGCTTCACTCTAAATTTCTGTGATTGCACGACCGAGTGTTTCACCAATAGAAAATCGAATCTCATGTTAGTTTTCAAATGATGTGGCGATTGTTACCCCTAGAAACCGAAGGACAAGGATAATATTGATGCTGTAAAGCTTTTGGGTTATTGTGTGGTCTGTGCTTCCGGACTGTGATGATCCTCACTTCCCCGTTTCTAACACGGTTTGATACAGAGATTTAAAAATAGTTGAACAATGACGTGTTTGGTGACACTGATGAACATGTTTCACATAGCTGGCTTCTGGTTAGACAACACCTAGTTAGCCACCTAGTGTCTAAAAATATATAAAATGAATCAGTTGTTTTTCAAATGAGTAAAAGTTTTAGATCAGTTCACCTGCAGACAATTTAGAATCACCAGTTAACCTCAGCATGTTTCTGGACTGTGGGAGGAAGCTGGAGAACCCGGAGAGAACCCACGCTGCACGGGGAGAACATGGAGACTCCTCATATTAGAATGTTTTTTGTATATCATTTCCCAATGACACACTCAAATGGCAGCACCTCCTGTTCTCCTTTCAGCCAGTCACCTCTTATTTACTCAACTTTACGAGGCTGCACATGGAGAAGTTTGCTGTGGTGAAGAAGCCACTCACAGGTGCAAAACGTGTCGCCGTGACATTTGTTAACAGATTGTGACGTCTGAGCTGTTAAATTCAATCAAAATGGACACTAGAGCGAGTTTTTTCTGTAGAGCTGTAACTCTGGCCTACCACTGGTGTGTTTTGACCTCCAGTGTTGGATGTTGGGAGTCATTATTTAATCTTTCCCATGATAATGTCACGTACTCAAGCTTTTATCAAGGAGTCATATATTTTATAATGCCAACATTAGTCCTGGTTTCATGCTCCAAGCCAACATGTGACCTTTCACAGGGCATCAGCACGGCTTGAAACACTAAATAGCTCCTCCTACTTTGGTGAAATTATAATTTCCTCTTGATTTATTTCATGTTGAGTGTTCCAAACTCACTCGCTGGTTTTGTTTCATCAGCGTTTACCAAAATGTGAATGTGGGGAAGTTTTCCATGTGTTTCCCAGAAACCTTGAAGAAGTTTTACTTCCTTGTGCAGCAAACTACACACGAGTTGTCATGTAAGCTGCACCAGACAGCAGGTTTATCACAGTCACATACTGTCGGTAACTTGAAGGGTTTGAACAGTGTGAGAAAGAATTTAGCTGACCCCAACCACAGTGGTGATTTCAGCAACACCCACTTTACCACATTTTTTTCAAATGCTCGTCTCTTAACCACCTTTTTAAGGCTTCGTATTGTAATTATCCTTCAGCAGAATCACCACGATCTCACATTCAGGAGTGCTGTGTCACGTTAAACGGCCCATTCTCCATTCAGAATAGTTTTATTTTAGATCACAACCCAATCAAAAGCTTCCCATTGGCCCAAACATTTCCACTAGACACATCTGATTGGCTGACCTCTCTGCTGCCACTAATAACAGACCATCCACTGGGTCTACCGCAGAACCTGAAGACATTTTGACTGGCTAACCGCGGCGCTGACCACTAATAGCAGGATAGCTGAGAGTCAGACATGGAAGTAGTCTGGTTTTTATTTGCGTACAAAGAGGGATCTGGGCACCGAGGGCAACATTGTTCAGAAAACGTTGGGGAGCTCTAGGATTTCCTCTCCTCGGTAAACAAGCTTTGCAGCCAGCGCGCATAGCTGTGGTACCGTGATCCCATAACAGCGTGTCATTACTGGAGTCCGGCTCCCTGAAACAGAAACTACTCTGATAGTAAAGTCTTGTTGCTACGACCCACATTGATGCAGCAGGTGTGTGTGTTTTTATGGTGTGTGAGGGCGTGTGTTTCTGACTCTGTGGTTTTTTTTCTTGTGTGTCTGTGCAGAAAAAGCCTCTGTCTGCTGTGATAAAGGAGGTCTGTGATGGGTAAGCAACAGTGGTGGATTCTATTTAAACTTCCTCTCATTGTGGTTAATGTTTCACATCAACTCTGCGTGTAACTGTGATGTTTGTCTGTTTATAGGTGGAATCTCCCAGGTCCTGAGAACTACGCCCTGCAGTACACGGATGGGGTGCAGATGTACATCACTGAATCGGTCAGTCGCCACGCAGATCAACATAAATATTTATCTGTTCCGCTGAATCTATCTGGTGAATGTCTGAGCACATCTGGGAAGCATTGAGCAACAGGCCTGAGTCAGTCCTGTTCAAGAGCAGAATGGTGTAAATTTCTATTTGAGCAATGAATCAGTGAGTCACTACTTTGTCAGCACTTCTCCCGGGAGTTGAAAATGACTGAAGATGGAGCCCAGGTCATCGCTGCTGTTACAGATGAGACAGAATGAGAAAGCAAGAGACAAAAGGGGGAGGCAGAGGCAGCTGGAAGTTCACTCAGCTCCTCCTCGGTGATCTTCTGAAAAGGTTGCTGCTGGAAGCCCTCCCCCCGCTTTGAACTGAAGACTGCAGAAGTCATTACGGTGGCATCGGAGGAGCAGAGATGACTTTATTTATCCTAATAAACCTGACTCTAGGAACAGTGCTGCTGTGAGAGTGTGAGGCTTTCGGTCTCGGCTGTCTCAGGGCTGCTGGAAACATGGTGACTTCCAGACTTTGAAGTGAGTTTGTAGTTAAACACAGATGTTTCGGTTTAAGAGCAGCTTCTTGATGAGTCTGTGGAACTTTTTGCTTCATTGCATGCAGCATAATAATGATGCAGATTATTTCTTGCTTCCAGTTGCAGTCTGGTTTCACAAATATCCCAGTTAGTGTCCTCGTAAAGAGACTGTGTTCAGTTAACGGATCAGAACATCACAATAACAGTCAGAACGTCTTGGCTGTGACATTCTGCGCTGACAGCCTGACATATTGTCACGACAAATTAGCTGTGTTGTTTTGTGAGACTTTATTCTGAATGTTTCTAAATGTTGTTGTGGCTTGAAACTAATTGCATTTGTAAAAGTGGGCAGAAGTGCAAACTTGAGCACAAAACTTATATGACTTTTTCATGATCACACACAGTAGATGCACTTATATTTGCATATATACACATTTTTGCACCTAGTTGTGTATTTGGTCACATACAACACACTCAGTCTGTTGTATTTGCTTCTAACTGCTTTTGTATTTTGCGCTACATTAAAAGCTCAACCAGTGACTGTATGCAGATTAGCTTCAGAGAAGAAGCTGGAAACCTTGTAAAGATTACATTTCTTGCAATGTTTGTCTGTGTTGTCTGTTTAAAATACACCCTAGAAATAAGGGTAGAAAAAATGCATCATTTTAAGGATTTATGTCCATGTGGTTACCTTACTTGGACCCTTCTGTGTCTTGCCTCCTACCTGAAAATGACTCGGTTTCGAAGGCTTTCTCAGATTTTAAATGTCTGTTTGTTTGCGGGTCGTAGAATCGTCTAGACATCAAGAACGGCTGCATTCTGCGTCTGACCAAGGCACCGGTGAGTCTGCACCCGACAGGCTCTCAGCCACGTTCCTCTCTCACCTCCCTCTCCTCACATTCTTCCTGTCTGCAGCCGTCTCACTCACTAAGTTGCTCTTTCATTTGCATCCTGCATGAAGCAAAAACAGCTGAATCGGCTGAACAGAACACGTCAGCCCTGTTCTGACTGTTAGAGAAGAGCAGCCGTTACAAATGAACACCTGGTAAAGGAGAAGTCTTTTTGTCAGTGTGTCGTGTGAACATGTGTGTTTGTTTTTGTGCGTTTCATTGATGCTGGTGAACTCAGGGTCGCTGTGCAGAGGACCTGTACAAAGGCATCCAGAGCTCGGACGCAGGCGTGCGCTGCGACTCGCTGAAGGAGCTGGCGGGCGTCTCCACGGACATGACGTTCGCTCAGGAGTTCATCAGCCGCAACGGACACCTCCTGTTGGTCAAAATAGTGGAGGACTCTACTGAGTTAGTACTCTGTGTGTGTGCGTGTATGTTTCCTCAGCTGGGGGTGGAATGCTGCTCCACAGATAGATTTCACTGGTGCTGAGGAGCATCCAGCAGCATCCGGTGCCAAGAAAAAAAAACATTGAAAGAGTGTATGTGAGGAATTTATATAGAGCCACAAATATGAGAGTGTATTCTGCTGAAAGAAAAGTTTCCACTGGCACCTTCTGAGCTTCCTTGTTTTTACTTAAAACCAGGTTTTGATTAATTTGATCTGTTTTCATTTATATTTATATATATTTACTTTAAACACAGTGAGCGAGGCACTGAGAGGATATTACATCCACCTGAATGATGTCTGTTAGTGACTATCTGTGTGTGCGTAACTGCAGCCTGACTCATGGATAATATCTGTTCCTCTCTTGTCATCGTTCAGGAGTAATGTGATCATGACCCACACGCTGAAGGGCTTCATGGAACTGATGTATCATGGGATAGTTTCATGGGAGAACCTCTCTACTGTCTTCATCAAGAAGGTTTTGTATCTGCTGCTGTCCCAATTATTCGTTTTTTTTCAAGCGACTGCTGCTGCCTTTTCTCTTTCTCACCGTCGATCTCTTGTTTCTTCCGTCTCTCCGTTCTCTTCCCTCCTTCTCTCTCCTCAGATTGCCGGCTTTGTCAACGCCAAGCCGACCGACGCGTCGATCCAGCAGGTGTCCCTGGACATCCTGGAGAACATGGTGCTGAGCAGCCAAAGCCTCTTCCTGCAGGTTAAACAGGAGGTGACCCTGGAGAGGCTCATCGCTCACCTCCAGGTGTACGTAGCAGATTATATTTAAGATGTGTTCACTCACACTTTTTTCTTAAACCCTCAGACTCTTTGTTTCTGACTCCCTGCCCCCATTTTTTTAACTGTGGGTTTGTTTTTCCTGCACCTCTATGGAAGCAGCACAACCACGACTACAAGTAGAGACGAGTCAAACATGCCTTTTGTGCAGTTTAACAAAGTTATAAATCATAAAGCAAGAAAAATGAATTTATATCATTATTTATTTTACAAAAAAGTAATTGAAATAAACATGTACAGCCTTTTTTAGGTGCACAAAAACACATTACCAATACTAAATAAACAGTGGCTCGATATGCTGTAGATATTTTTGTATTTCTATTTTTAATTTGTCTCCTATCTGTGTCTGCATCAGTGCAAACAGCCTGAAGCCCAATACTCTGAATTTTTGTCACATAACTGTCGACCACAGCTTTATCACTAGTGGCTTCCTAGTTGCAGAATATTTTATGGATTTTATTTTATGTTTTTAATACAATATGACTCGTGCACACAGTTTGTTTTTGGCACATTTTTAAGTTGGACGCAGATAAAAGTGATTCTGATCAAATTTTGAAGCTTCAGACGAACCAGAAAGTCACACATGATAAATTCAAGGGCTGTTGGAAAGCTAGAAATCCCACTATTCCTGTTTTTTTTGTTTTTTTCTTGGACAAACTGTGATCTTTTTTTGGTGGGTTTTGGGATTTAGTAGTTTATGCTTATGTCTATGCTGTCAAATCTTTCCTTTTAATTTTTACACATAGTTTAAAAAATAAGACTCTCGCTAAGAAGATGGGCAGCTTCTGTCCACCTCTATGTTAGATTTATCATTATACTTTTATTATTACACAGCGAGGGTTCTATTCTTCCCGAGCAAGTCGAGCCTTCGGTCGCCCTCCATGATGGACAATGGAAGCAATCAAAGACAGATGGAAAATATTACATGTTCATGATCTGCTCTGCAGTGAAGTGAAAGAAACACGACAGAGTGACACATCAGTGTTTTGATGATGTGGCAGGGTGTGAAGTTCGCAGCTTCGTCTCTATAAGAGGAAGTGTTTAGACATGTCAACCGTCTGACATTTATCACGGCAGATAAGCGGGATGTCGTGTCGTTAGAAGTGAAAAGCTTCAAAGAAAGCCATTTCAGAACATTTCGCTGTGTGTTTGTCTCACACTTGCCTCTTTTACTCTCGACCTTGTTCCAGGACCAATCAGCAGATCCAGACCAAAGCCATGGCTCTGCTCATGGCGCTGCTGCAAACAGCTGGAGACTCAGATAAACAGGTGCTGTTTCTGTCTCTCTTATCCACTTTTCTTCGACTTCTTCTTCTCAAGGCTAATAAACTTCCAAGCATGCAGACAAGCAAGTATGCTGATTGTTTCAGGGCCTTCCTGGATGTCTGTTTCTTCCAGGCAGGGAGGTCATGAACTGTGCAGACTCGATCTCAGCCTGTGGTTTTCACTTATCCTAAATCTGTGGTGATTTTTCTGTGTTTCTTGCTGTCAGCAGGGGAAGTGAAAAGAGTGAATGAATTGATCCATTTATGTCTGTTTATCCAGCGCCAGGTTTAGCTTATTCCTCAGTGCCATAGAGCTCCATTGTTGTACCAGAGAAAGTTCATGCATGTGTCTTGTGACTTGTGCATGAGATCCAAAATACTGGAAATAAAATCAGACCAGATTTGATTAGACTAACTTTTGCAGATCTAAAAGCCTATTAAAAACCCTGAGTGACATGTTTCAGGTACAAGTATACGACCAGTGTCGCTGATTTAGTAACAGGCTTGTCGACTAATACAACAAATAGCAGCTACAACAGAATCTCAATTAATGCATTTGTAATGACTATTTATTGTACTTTGATGTAATTGTGGTTTAAAGACAATGAAATTTTCATTGTATGTCAAAAACCCAACTTGAGACAGGGCTTGAAATTTAAGATTTTACTGTAAACTTCATGTTAAACTGCATTTTCCCTCTCAGATAGAAATAAGTTCTTATTCAAATCAGCTCAGTCAGGCTTTGGACACACAGGCAGCACTCATTAGGAGAATAATGTCATTGCTGGTTGATGCTGCATCACGGTTTTGTCAAGAATGATAGAAAACCCCCACAGTTGCCCCTTTAGTTCTTTACTATGGCACGTGATGCCCTTATAGCCCTGCAGTGGGGGGTTGTACATGTAACTTTGGGGTGAATGATGGTAATTTTCAGCCTTCATTGTGCTTGCGGGTCAGAATCCTGCAGGCACGACTTCTTCTCCGACAGATGAAAACGATCTCTCTCATTGTGTCTGCTCGTTACAGTCGAGGCTTTCTGCCCTCTGTTCTGTTCCTGCTCCTCTCTCATTGTACACAGACAGTTCCTTCATTCAGCCCTCCATCTTTTTTTTTTCCCCCTCTCAGGCTCTCTTTGTTGCTCACACGCACACACACACACTTCCTCACTTTTTACACTAGGTCAACAAACCCACCCTGTCTTATCAGCAAATCGCAAAATGCAGTTGAGCCATACATGCATTTAACAGCAAGTGAGGATTGCGGAGGTCAAAGTCCCTCCTGCTAACCCTGGTCCTGCCCAGTGGTCTGTTCCTGTTACACTACGGCGCCCCCCCATGTCAGAAGCACGTCCCTACACCCCAGTAACGCGCCTGTTTTCTTGGCTTTTTGTTTTCCAGGAGATGTTTGCGTTCCTGAATAAGAAGAATCTCCGTCAGTACATTTATAAGGTGAGTTTTCTGTTTATTTAGTGTTCGGCGTCTCTATAGCGATGTGGAGTGAATTAACACAGTGGAATGTTTGCTGCAGAACATCATCCACAGTTCTGGTTCAGTCCAAGACGAGATGGCCCACCACCTGTATGTCCTGCAGTCGGTGACCTTGAACCTCCAGGAGCTGCGCATGAGGACGCCTCTGGACTGTTACAGCCAGGTGAGCTGCAAAACAACACCTCCGAGAGAAAACGTCTGATGCTTAATATAAGAGGAGCCTTTATTAATTTAAGCCTTTTTAAATGTTGAACGTCCCTCTGATTGCCTTTTAAAGCGATGCACATTGCTCTGAAGTATTTGATTATTTAATTTCTAAAAATCTTTAGGGCTAAAATGTCATATTTCCCCAATAATCACAGATCTTCTTCCTGAACCCACAATCCAGCTTTTTTTTAGTTTTATGGACAAAACAAACCCCAAAAAAATAATTTTACATACGATGAGGCTTTAGAAATTCTCAGTGGAGGTTCTTAGAAACACAAGAAGAAGACTGAAGAGAGTGACTGAAGTACAGAAACTGTCACCACAACAGTCTGCATCATTTAAACATCATTTATCTGCTTCACTGCAGGAACAGAGAGACACCCTCCACAGTTTGCGGCAGGCAGCGTTCGAGACAGAGAGCGAGAACAGCCTGAGCCACGAGAGGCGACGCTCTCTCTGCGCCAAAGAGTTCAAGAAGCTGGGTTTTTCTGTAAGCTGCCAGAACGGTTTTCAGTCGTATGACTCTGCGTTACGTCCCGTGTACGTGAATGAGTGTCGTCTGTTTCTTCCAGAACAACAGTAACCCCGGCCAGGACTTGGTACGGACGCCTCCGGGTCTGTTAGCTTTGGACAGCATGTTTTATTTCGCCACGCGTTATCCTGACGCCTACAGCAGGGTGAGAGGGATTCATCTGACATGCATGTATTCCATTTATTTAGTAATCTGTAGAGTTCAGCAGTTACCTTGACTTTAAATCTTCTTCTAAGTAGGACAGGATGAACTTTATCTCACCAGGAAAGTGTCCCAAGTATTTAAGTTTATTATGTTATTATTATTGTCGCTAAGTTTTGTCATTTGTCTCTCAGTTCGTCCTGGAGAACAGCAGCAGAGAGGACAAACACGAGTGTCCGTTTGCCAGGAGCAGCATCCAGCTGACGCTCATCCTGTGTGAAATCCTTCGTATCGGAGAACCGCGTAAGTTTGTCACCTCCTCCTCCTGCTTTCTCCGTAACCTCTGCTCCGACCTGCTCCACAGCTGACAGCCTTTCCTGTCGTCTCTCCCCCCTCCAGCCTCAGAGACGGGATCCGACTACCACCCCATCTTCTTCAGTCAGGATCGGCTCATGGACGAGCTTTTCTGTATCTGCATTCAGCTGCTCAACAAGACCTGGAAGGAGATGAGAGCCACACAGGAGGACTTTGACAAGGTGATACTGCAAAACAAAGCACGCTTCACTGTTTACGTCAGAACAGCTTAGACCTAGACAGGGCTACGGTGCCACACGGGAGGATTTTGGTTGTTATTTCCTGTTGCTTTTGTTCTAAATACAGTGCAAACATGGGCTCTATCCCAGTACCCTGGATAGTTCTGTGATGGTAGCACAAGATGATGTTCCTAAAGATATTCTGGGCCAACATCGTAAAATCTGTCTTCACCTTAAGAAGCTTGTGCTTGAGTTGCAGCCTTATATGATTCTTTCTGACTTTTAGATTGATTGTTCCAGGATGGATTTATGTAAGGATGAAGGCTTAATGAATGTTTTCCCTGGACGTCTATGCTCTCCAGTCTGAGCTACGTGGACAAATAATTGTTCGATTGCGGGTCCAGCGTGGCTCAATGGCTTTTCAACCGTAGCTGCGTGTAAAATGATGACATGGGGCATTTCAGACCCGAGCTTGCCATGACCAGAACTGGCCTGTTGACGGGATCCTGTGACAGCGACTCGGTGCTTCCCGTGGAGCAGTCGGACTCATTTGTGGTTGACCAAACCACAGATGCACTTCCTTGAATCATAAAGTAATGTTGAAACCGACCGCTGGGTTTTTATCCGGCCACTGATTCACTCCTTCAGCACATGACGGCCGTACGTGTGGGACTCAGCAGCGGTCGCTCCGATTCTGTGAATCTGATGAGTGTGTTCTTGCGTAATCGTAAATCAGAAGTAAAACTGAGCAGCTGAGTGAAACTATGAAACAAACATAAAAAAACTAAACAAAACTCCCACAGACCAGCAGAAATGAGGCGTAAAGAGACCAGCTTAAGACAGGAATGTTTTCTGGTGTACGTTTGTATTGTTGGAAGCTAATTCTGATGCTAACCGTCCCTGAGCTGCCCCCACAGACACACGGCGACCTACAAGTACGTGGTGATAGTTTAAGCGCAGAGTGGTTTCGTCTGGGAGAAATATTGAGAATCCAACCTTCTTGAAAGGAGGACTGCTTGAGCTTTTGTCCCGATTCGCATTTTAACTTTGCACTCAACCGTCCGTCATCCACAAAGAGCTCTGAGTCATAAAACTCAGTGACCTCTTGACCTCTCAGGAGCAGGCCCATGTGTCCTGAGCGCCGGGCCGGCAGACCGGCCTTTTGTTTTGGCTCGCGGACCCCCTACCCAGGGTGCTTTGGGGCAGGGACAAAGGGGCATTAGGTGGACAAAGAGAAGCGTGGTGAGCGGCAGAAACAAAGGCAGAAGGAAACGAGGAAAACAAAGCGCCCAGGGCATCAGCAGTAATCACACAACAACAGAGAGGGAACGTAAACCCCTGGAAACAATATGAGAGCGAGGGAATGTGATGGGTTGGACCGGAGGAGGCAGAGAGGTGGAGGGACCACAGAACAAGTAGCAGCGAGGTTGCGAGTGGTGTGTGTGATGCTGCAAATTTAAGTATTTGCGCGTGTGAGCGATGCCGCTTCACACACACTCCCTCCATCCAGTCACGTGAATGCATTAGATCTACACACCCTCTGTGATAACGGTCGTCCTCACACATTCAGCGCGCGTGCACATGCTGCAGGGTTTCAGGGAACGGAGGCAGCTGCCGTCCGTCGCTCCGATTGGCCGGTGGAGCTAAATGACAGAGGGGCTGGACGGAGGGGGTGTGCATGTGAGTGAGAGAATCAGGGTGTCTGTTTACAAAACACCCAAACGCTGCACCTCTCCTGTCATGTAGGTGACGTCGGCGTTTCTCTCCCCGTCCTCCCTTTGTTGAGCAGGTGGAATTGGAAGTTAGGGTTGCAATATTTGTCAAAGTAGTTGGCTCTGAAGGAGGGAAAAAATGGAGGTAAGATTGTTTTTTTTTTGCATTCTTTTAAGCTGTTTGAACTCCTTAGTTGCTGTGGAGGTTAAATGATGTAGCACAAAAAGCTGAATTGTTTAGAAAGGGCTGACGGTTAAGAATAAGAGCGCCAGGATGACATAACGCTGGCTGTCTGAGGCTCGTGTCATGTGAAAGCTGCTGTACTCTGAAAGTTATTTTGGCTCAGGGGCCCGGAGCTGGAGTCATAGTGTGAAACTGTAGTCGCTTGTTTTGTGTCCCTGCATGTTCACACAATATAGAATGACGGTCTGGATTTCACCGTCTGCAGAGCTGCCACACCAATGACATCGGCCGCTCTCTCCTGTCAGCTCGGTCAGTTCAACAATCCTTGCTGACTTCAGCTTTCAAGGACAAGGAGTTTCCCACAGAGCGCTAGTTGTACTAAAGCACACGTCGGCGTGTGGCGGGAGGTCTGGACAGAGCTTTAGCGGGTGGGTCGTGTTACGCTTTAGTCACTGACGGTTCACTATCAGTCAAACTGGGTGTGAGCAGGAATGATGTAGGTCAGCAGAGTGTGTGTCAGAGAACTGGGAGCAGTTGGCCCGGTCTGGAAACGCCACAGATCTTTCTATGGATTTTCCACTATAGATTTTACACGCATGCAACTGTGCAGTTTGACAAACTGCCCTGAGCTGTGGTTCTGTGAGCAGGCGGGGTCACTGCATGTCCCTCTGTGTGAGCTTCACCTCAACAAGTCATGCAGAAAACACACACAAACACACACACACAGATTCAAACGCAACCGCAGCTCAACGCCCGACTAAGTGTAAAGTAACCGCTCAGCTTGTCAGTGATCGATGGTGCTAATCCTGCCTGGTTGGCTGTGGGATGGACGCCGCAGACAGCTGAGTTAGTAAAAAGCAAACAGAGAGAGAAATGGAGGTGGGAATACGTTTTACTGGACAGTGAAGGAGGGAGCTGAATCTTTGAACTTTAAACTGATAATAGAAGCAGGCAGGAGAAGATACGAACGAAAGTAATGAATGAAAAGTGGAAGAGAAAAAGTGAAGTACTGATTAAGCTGTTTATTGACATGGCCTCTTGGTGTGAACAGAACATGTGGTTTTTAAAGATGGAAAGTAATGATTGGGGTTTCTTTATTGACTGAATCACTGCAGTCTTCTTTTATTGGTCACAGTTTTGCCCTTTTGAGTGTAAACCAATCATTTACTGTCTATAACGTTGCTCAGGATTAAGCAGAAGCATCTGAACTTCTTCAGACTTGAGCATGAAAGTTCATTCTTGACCAAGCTAAGAGTGTATATAATGTCTTTTTAAGCCACCTCTGACGTTCTTTAATCAATGAACGATGATCCCATTAAATAGGTTTATTGATTTTTTCCATCAAAAATGGGTGTAAATCTGGTTGAACAATAAAAAAACCACAATTGGCTGCTTGTAATAGTGAGAAAAACTAGATGCAAACTCAGAAAGGAAGTTTTTGAAAGCCACTACAAGCCCAATGCAGTAAGTGTAGAAGTGTCGCTGGCTAATTCTAGATACAAATCCACATAAATAAACAACATTCCTCCCAAACAGCTGTTCCTGAATGCCTTTCTCTCCCAGATGTGTAAACCGATGTGTGTCTCCGTCTCCAGGTGATGCAGGTGGTGAGGGAGCAGATCACCAGGACGCTGTCCAGTAAGCCCACCTCCTTGGAGCTCTTCAAGAACAAAGTGAACGCTCTCAACTACAGCGAGATCCTCAAACTGCGGCAGACAGAGCGGCTGCACCAGGAGGAGACTCTGGCGCCGCCTGTGCTGTGAGTATCGCCGTGTTTTATGAGACACACGTTTTATTTTTACTTTCAGTTCGTACTGCAGCTGCCTTTATGAAAGTATGTGCTGTTGCATAAAATACAGACGTACTACATCGTCATAGAAGTATGTGTAATGGTTAACCATCTTCCTCATAAATCAGTCTGTCGTGCAAAAAGAGCCGTCATCTGTGTGCGTTCTTGGTGGTTCCAGCTTGTTTATCCCTGGGTTTATACACACAGTGACGTATGTGACACATCTTCAGCTTTGCAGAGGATTGTGGGTCAGAATAGCTGGAAAAGCTTGTGTATTTCAAAATGCAACCAGGTGTGGGACGACATCCTCATACCTTTGGCCTATTACGTATCGGGACATGCTAAATCTTTTTTAGTTGTACTATAAATAAGCTGTGGATTATTAAGGAGACTAAAAGCCTTTTTCACATCAAGAAGAGAGCCGTCATGTCCAAGGACAGTGAGGCGATCACTATTGTGTTCTTGTCTTGTGCTGTTGCAATGCCTGAATGTCTCCTATGAGGATCAATAAAGAATTATCTTATATTATGGTAGTATGGGCACTGAAACGAACCAATAATACACAAATCCAAGAAAAAAAGGCAAATGCTAAATCTTTATCTAATGATGGGAAACACTATATTTGATCTACTTCATACTGACCAGTCAACAATAAATACAGAACAGAAATATTTCTTAAAATCTGTTGTGGAAATAAATAAAATTAAAGCCGCAAGCGGCGATGGACGGGTCCTCGCCCTAC